GAAAGGAAGATAAAAAGGATGGAAGGGAGGGTGGGAGGGAAGGAAGGAAGGAAAAGAAGGAAAGGAAAGGAAAGGAAAGATAAAAAGGATGGAAGGGAGGGTGGGAGGGAAGGAAGGAAGGAAGGAAAAGGAAAGGAAAGGAAAGGAAGGGAAAGGAAAGGAAAGGAAAGAAGGAAAGGAAAGGAAAGATAAAAAGGATGGAAGGGAGGGTGGAAGGAAGGAAGGAAAAGGAAAGAAAGGAGAAGTGGAAGCGGAAACGGAAGCAGAAGGAAAAAAGGAAAGGAAAAGAGGAAAAGAAAAATAAGAAAAGGAAAAGAAAAGGGAAGGAAAAGGAAGGGAACGGAAAAAGGAAGGAAGGAAGGCAAAGAAAAGGAGGGAAGGGAAAGAGAGGAAAGAATTAAAGGAAAGGATGCTGTAATGGTCATAAGCGTGATAAAGAGTTGTAACCTAAGTCCCTTTTTTCAGGGCCGTTGTAACTTGGAACGGTCATTAAATGAACTGTCATAACTCGAGGACTACAGTTAGTGACCAAAATTGTGGAAACCTTTTGGGACAAGTGTATTTCTGAGGTTTGATGGCTAATAACACCACTTTTTTTTTCTGGAGTTTCAAGATAATCCTATTCCACTGCTGGAATGGTTGGGGAATAGCCCAGACCTTCTTAACCCAATTGAAAATCTATGGAGCCGACTAAAGAAACTGGTTAGTCAGGAGGAACCCAGCAATAAAACCCAGTTAATAGAAGCCATCATTCCATCTTGACTTCACATGATAACAGCTGCAGAACTCAAAGACTCGGTTCACTCCATGGGAAGACGTTGTAAGGCCATAATTCATGCTAAAGGTTACCCAACGAAGTATGAACTGACGTGGTGATCATTTTTGCATATCTTGTTTTTTCTATGGTGCTCATTTTTGTATCTCTCGTTTTTTCTACGTGTTTCACTAATTCTTCTTTCTACTGTAACTGCTATTCTAATAGCAAATCCTTCATAAAAGTTATTGCATTACATTCTTGATTAAATTAGCTTTCCCTTGATATATAATTTTATGGTACTAACTCCCCCCCCCCCCCCAAAAAAAGTGGTGTTATTAGCTAGTTTTAGAAAATACACTTTTCCCAAAAGGTTTCCGCAATTTTGGCCACTACTGTACCTGTATGCAGTGGTGGGATTCAAGTAATTTAACAACCGGTTCTCTTCCAACAGCCAGTTTGCCAAACTGCTCAGAAAGTTAACAACCGGTTCTCCCGAAGTGGTGCGAACCGGCTGAACCCCACCACTGCCTGTATGTGATGCTGAACTTGCTCGAAATTCTCTTAGGGGTAAACTGTGCTGTTCATGGAGGTTTTGCTTACTGGGGTTCGAACCACAGGTAAATGGTTGTCAAGTCTAGTACCACCTGGAAATAAACTTGGCATCCTCCAGCTGAGATCTCTACCAGCTTTCCAGGGCTGTGTGGAATCGTACTTGTTTTAAAAAATAATTTTTAGAAAGCTCGCCCACTAACAGCCTGTCATGGCAACCAGATTTGTGGGCTGGTGTCGGTGTTTTGGTTCCTCTTTAATTCACCGCTGCTCAGCGCGGCTTATCGGGGTGACAGCCAAGATGTAGGGTTGGGGGTGGGGGAGAAGGATAAGGAATTCAGCAAACAATTTATTGCAGGTTCAATATGCACTTGTGGCACTCTTTCTCTAAATCAGGGGCGGAAGACTTTGGGAGCTTGGTTGCCCAGCAAAATTTGAGGGGTGGGGGAGAGGGTCTTGTAAGCCCCTGCTCAATACAGGATTTAGAAAGAGTCCAGAGAAGAGCAACAAAGAGGATTAGGAGGCTAAAACATAATAAAGAACAACTGCTGGAATTAAGCAGTAAAGGTAAAGGTTCCCCTTGCACATATGTGCTGGTCGTTCCTGACTCTAGGGGGCGGTGCTCATCTCCGTTTCAAAGCCGAAGAGCCAGCGCTGTCCGAAGACGTCTCCGTGGTCATGTGGCCGGCATGACTCAACACCAAAGGCGCACGGAACGCTGTTCCCTTCCCACCAAAGGTGGTCCCTATTTTTCTACTTGCATTTTTGACCTGCTTTCGAACTGCTAGGTTGGCAGAAGCTGGGACAAGGAATGGGAGCTCACCCCGTTATGCGGCAGCACGAGGGATTCGAACCGCTGAACTGCCGACCTTCCGATCGACAAGCTCAGCGTCTTAGCCACTGAGTCACTGTGTCCCTTGCTGGAATTGGGTATGTCTAATTTAATGAAAAGAAAGACCGGGGGTGACATGATAACATGAATTCCAGTATCTCAGGGGCTGCCCCGCAAAAGAGGGAGTAGTCAAGCTATTCTCCAAAGCACCTAAAAGGCAGGTCAAGAAGCAACGGATGGAAATTAATCCAGGAGAGAAGCAACCTTGAACTAAGGAGGAATTTCCTGACAGTGAGGACAATTAACCAGTGGAACAGCTTGCCACCAGAAGTTGTGAGTGCTCCATCACTGGAGGTTTTTAAGAAGAGATTGGACAACCATTTGTCTGAAATGGTATATAGGATTTCCTGCCTGAGCAGGGGGTTGGACTAGAAGACCTCCAAGGTCCCTTCAAACTCTGTTATTCTGTTTGTTGGGTTAGTGGGCATGGCCAAACTTTACCTAAAAGGGAATTCCTTTCTCAGCAGGCCTCCAAAGACCGAAGTGGAGTTTTTTTAAATTTGTCTTTTGAATTAAAAGAATATTTTTTTAAAAAAAGTCAGACCTATGGAGAGAAGGCTGTTTTTCCTCCTTTTTCAAAAAACGTGATTTTCTCCACCCCCAAAGGGGTTATTCTGCCTTTTTTTTCAGGGTTCTTGCCCTGTCACCTGCTTTGTTACATGCCTTTATTATTTTTAGGAATAACCCAAGGTGGCGATCGTACCCAATATGCCTTTCTCCTCCTACTTTCCCAACAATAACCCTGTGAGGTGGGCTGAGAGAGATTGACTGGCCCAACAGACTCTCATGCCTAAGGTGGAACTAGAACTCCCAGGTTCCTTAGTGATTGGCAAAAGGCACCCAGCTGGTTTTCATGCCCAAGATGGGACTAGAATTCAGAATCTTCTGGTGATTGGCCAGTTACCTAGCTGGCTTTCATGGCTAAGGCAGGACTAGAGCTCCCTGTCGCCTGGTGATTGGCCCAAAGTCATCCAAGCCATCTTTCATAGCAAAGACAGGACTAGAATTCCCAATCTCCTAGTGATTGGCAAAAGACATCCAGCTGGTTTTCATGCCCAAAATGGGACTAGAACTCCCAGTCTCCTGGGGATTGGCCCAAAATCAACTGGCCAACTTTTGCGGCTAACACACGACTATAACTTACCGTCTCCTGATGATTGGCCCAAAATACCCAATCACCTTTCATGTCAAGAAATCCTATTGTAGCATGTAATGTTGGGTTAACTTACTTTTAGAATAAGAGTCTTGTGTGAATCCAGAGATGGAATTTCCAAGTTATCTGGGGATGAATCTACCCCATGATGAGTTATGGAGATTAGGATGCTGGACTATTTCTTCCCAATGTTTGCTTGCAGACATAACGTTGGGAGATACTGTTGTTAATTTGTTATTTTAATATTCCATCGTTCTAAAGATGTGTGGACTTCAACTCCCAGAATTCCCCAGCCAGTGCAAGGCTATCCTAAGCGTCTCCACCGAAGCAAATATTCTAACACATTGAATAAGAACCAATACTCTAACCCAGTGTTTCTCAACCTTGGTAGCTTGAAGATGGGTGGACTTCAACTCCCTGACACCCTTCCAATCTCATGGTTTGATGATATTATGAGTTTGTGACTTTGACTTTTGGACCTCTGTTCTCCTGGTAGACCCTCTGGAGATTGGGTGACCTCCAAAAAAACTAGAATGGACATCCTGCACCTACCAAACACCATTGATCAGAGTTTCTAGGATCTCCATCCAACCAAACCATAGATAACACTTGCTTTGATCACCCAGTAGTAACTTTGGGTGGGACTTTTTGAAGCCCCACCCAAAGGACCCGTTGAGGGTTTTTTTTTGTGTTCCCACGAGTCCTCCACCATTTTATGGAGAACAATAAGTGAATAAAATATTCCTAACGACCTTACATTAATAAAGCATTTGAGACCTCACCGAACGGGGGGCCGAGGGATGGGGTGAGAACATACCAGATTGAGAGAGGGGGAGGGAGAGAGGGAGGAAAGGGAGTGAGGGAGAGGGAGAGAAAGGAAGGAAGACAGTCCATCCTTCAAAATAACACAAAAGCGTTCTGAATTCCTCTCCAGCAAAGACTTTCCTCTCCCCCAGTCTTTCAAGATAGTTCACAATTACCGACCTTTATCAGGCTTGGAGAGTGGCCAGGCCGATATCTTTCAGACTCCACACTGTAACAGACAATACTTGTCAAGAATGCAGGAACAGATCTTCACCCAAATGAACTAATTGTCTCCTGCAAACTCCACTCCCCTTCACTCCTCTTTATTCCCTCTCGGAGGGGCCATTCACCGTCCACCTGTGGCTTTACTCCTGAGTCGACCCTTGTTCCTTAGCTGTTCCCTTCACCTGGCAGCTCTGCGCATGCACACATTGGGAACAGGCTCCAGCTGTTCTTCTGCCCCACTGATGTCCGACTCCGAAGGTAGCTGACAACTGTCAGACGGCCCTGGCCCCCTCTCTGCCTCAGACGCAGAGCCCTCATCAGAGCCTTCCCCAGACTCCAGGACTGGCCCATGTTCCTCCCCAACCTCCTCACTGTCCGAATCTGCTGCCAGATCTGCTGGCCGCTAGCAGGCCATAACAGAAAGAAAAGTGTGCCGTTTAATTTACTTCCGTTCTCTGATCATCCATATGAATAATTAAATTATAGGAAGGAAGGAAGGAAGGAAGGAAGGAAGGAAGGAAGGAAGGAAGGAAGGAAGGAAGGAAGGAAGGGAGGTTGGGAGGGAGGGAGGGAGGGAGGGAGGGAGGGACAGAAATGGAGAGAAAAAAACCAAACACAACTTTTGGGAATTTTTGTCTTGTTTGAAAAGATGGATGGACACGGCCAATGTGGCCGACAGCAACCTCCCAGGTGGGGGGGAAGAGAAGGGCGTACAGACTCACGTATATTTTCTGTGTGGGGGGAAGAAAAAGAGAGAGGGAGAGAGAGACACTGACAACTTAACAATTAACCCCTTTGCTTCTCCCCCACCCCAGCAGTTCTCTTCCGGAGTTGACCGGTGCTGTCCCATCTGTCCGTTCTTCTGATGTTGGGAGGACTCGCTTGTCACACTCCACCATCTGGTGCCTAAACCTTGGCAGGTTAAAGGCCATCTTGGAACCCTTGAAGTCAGAGGGACGTGTCGCTGGGAGGGTCCTCCTTTTGGGGAAAGGAGTAAAAGGAAGAGGGAGCCGTGGGAGGAGAGGCATGGGCCACGTGGTCCATGCATGTTCTCTCCTGGAGGAGGGGGCGGTGTTGGCAGTGCAGAGAGCGGCTGTGTGCCATTGGGGGAGGAAGGACCTTCTTGTTGAGTGCAGGGGAAGTCCAAAGGAAGGGTACGCCAGATCCAGATGCTCCGTGAATCCTGTGCCTGTAAACCAGGAAGGGTCTTCTTCTCCAAGGTCACCAAGTCTAGAACTGGAGTCCTGCAAGAACCACAGAAGAAGCCATTAAGTTCTTCTGGAACGTTTCCAGGTTGAGGTAGAAGAGATGTCCTTGCTTGACTGGTGGTAAAATGGGCCTGTGGAGTTCTTCCCTGCCTTGTGTCCTCTGGAGACCTTTTTGCTACCTTGGTGGCCTTGTTGGAGTAGGATCTCCACTCTAGAGCAGTGCTTCCCAACGTTGGGAACTTTAAGAAATGTGGACTTCAGCTCCCAGAATTCCTCAGCCAGCATCGCTTGCTTCTTAAACTTCTTAAAGTTCTCAAGGTTGAGAAGTTGTGGGAAGTGGGTAGACAACTGTGGAACAAGGCTTCTTTGGTTGACCGAAAAGAACAAACCATAAACTGAAGCGATTTTTCTGACTCAAATTCTTTCCTGGATTTGGCAGCAGACTCAATGATAAGCTTGCCAAACTTCCCAAATTGCCGTGACGCAGCCATAGGAGGTCTCACCTCCATCTTAGGACCTGCAGCAGCTACATTTGTAACTGAGAGGATCAAATATGGTAAGTAGATACAGCCCTTATGAAGTTGGCACGGGGAATCTGCCACCTTGGGTGAGGAAGGGCAATCTGGGCATGATGAAGGAGGAAAAGAAGGAGGAAATGGTTGCCAAATGCTATAATGGGACTTCTGGCATGGACCTCCTCTTCTCTCTCAAGGGGCTAGTTCTCATGGGCCAATCTGGCCCACCAGGAGGCATAATTTTTCAATCATGTCACATTCAAATCTCAAGAGGAGCCTAGGATCTTCTCCTCCTGCACCACAGCCAACTTGCCATGGCCAACTAATCATGGCCAACCCACCATGGCCAACTCACCATGGTCAACTTGCCATGGCCAACTCTCTGAGGGACAAGAGTTACCTTAATATCAAAGAAATAGTGGAAGAGACCCATTAAAGAAAGGATACAAAAGGAAGGGACAAAATGAAATGGGAGTGACAAAAATGAAAATAGTTTTTAATTTAAGTGTTAAAAAAGGAGGATTCAGAATTCTATACGATCTGGGATCTGTGGTATAGGTGGTTAGAAATTAAATGCAAAAGTTAATACTCATGTGGAATAACGCACAACGATTAGTTAACCCTATATATTATTGTACCCTAATTAAACAGTAATCAATTTTATACATAAGAATTTTTGTACAAACTGTATAAATAATTAGATAATTGATTAGATACCGCACTTGTAAATACACAATATGACTACACGTTGCCGAACCGTATAGTTTGAATTGTAATATATTCTTAATTCAATAAAAATTCATTAAAAAAGAAAAAAGAAAAAAAAAAGAAAATAGTTTTTAATTTATTTTAAATAATTAAGTTGAACTGTTAAGTTGTCCCACAGCGAGTTGGCTATGACGAGTTGGCCCATTCCACCTCCTGCCGTTTCTTTAGAAGAGACTCCAAACTTGGTGTCCGTGATACTCACTTCCCCTCTGACGTCAACAGAGAGTTCAGACTTTCACATATAGTGCCACTGGCCCTCCATACCCATCGTCATTCCCATTGGTCCTAGAGGAAGAGGAGAAAACAGAGGATTAAAACCTTCCTATGAATGATGATTCCATCGCCATCCTCACACCCATGAAGGCATCTTTCTAAGGTCAGGTCAACCAGATTTCCGATTCCTCCATCTCAATGGCTTAAGATAACAAGCTTTTCTCAGCCCAACGGTGATCCCAAGAGGGCAGCTGAAATGATCTACTTGACCCACGTTGACTTGGTAGAACTTCAGAGATGGTCTTCATTCAGTTCGCAGCGAGTCTAACTTGACCTAGAGGCCATTATGTCAAGGTAGGCACTTCAAAGTCCACCTTTCAAGGAAAATGCTATTTGGTGAAGGACCGATTCGTACATGAGTGTCCAGGGTTTAAAAAAGTTGAGATGATGGCCAGGTTATGTGCAACACACACAAAAAGAGATGGGACTTGACTGTGTTGTTGTCACCAACTTAATGTTTTGGACCTTTTCTTCATTGGCCATGGTAGATCCCACCCCCCTGGCATCTGATAAGAGATTTTACTTTCCTTTGAGTGGATCTGTCCCTCACCAACAATTCTTTGTTCACTGTGGGAGCGTTTTTGCCCAAAAACTGGAAGTAAATGCTGTCAAAAATCTCATCAATTGTGATCATGTGATCAGGGGGACGTTGCAAACGGCCACAAAGAGAGGCAGGTTGCTAAAGCATCGGAAATGAGGTCCTGTCACCACCAGGAAGGGGGACCCTGGCTGTTGGAAATTCAGAACCGGATTGTATATACTTTTTGGTGGATCCGTTGTAACTTGGATGACTCCCTGTATTGGATTATACCAGGGGTCAGCAACCTGCGGCTCTGGAGCCGCATGTGGCTCTTTCACCCCTCTGCTGCGGCTCCCTGTCACTCAAAATATGAGTCCCAACTGCCAATGTGCGACACCCGCTGGCACGTGATTTATTGAGCTTTTCAACCCCCGATAGGCCAACCATGGATGAATCCAAGAAAAGAAAAGTTTCAGAACATTTAATTCAACTACATGTGCTAGTTTTGTGGCCGCTCAAGAAATAGTCAGGCACAGGAAGGGTTTTGTGGCTCCCGGTGTTTTCTTTTCTGTGGGAAACGGGTCAAAATGGCTCTTTGAGTGTTTAAGGTTGCAGACCCGTGGATTATACCGACAGAGCCAGGGGGTGGAGTTAAGTGAGTCATCAGCCTAGAATCATTACGTTCCCAGAAACAGTCTCAATCCAACCGCTCTGGAATTCCGTTGATTCTTATCCAGCGCCAATTTAGTGTTGAATGTTAGTTGCCCGGATTCTTGCTGATAGGCCTGAGCAACAAATCTTCTTCTTCTTCTTTTTTTTATTGAAAAAGTTTTACAAATACATTTTCTCCCCAGTTTCCCCCCCTAACCCTCCCTAACCCTCCTCTCCCCCCCAGACTTCCACAGAGTATAATCCAAATCAAAGACATATTTTATAAAACTTGAACCCCTCCACCCCCTATATATTTTTCACATTTTCACAATTCAATTATTCTATCACTATATAATACCTTCAGTTAAAAGCTATCTGATATTTCCTAGTTTGATATTTATTCTGCACATAATCTATCCACTTTTTCCGCTCCCATTCATAAGTCTCTTGGGTCCGATCTTTCAAATATGCTGAAATCTTCGCCATCTCTGCAAAACTAGCCATCTTCAAAGTCCATTCTTCAATAGTGGGCATAGCATCATTTTTCCAATATTGACCTATCAGTAGTCTCGCTGCTGTAATCATATACAATATCAGCTTTACTTCACCCAATGTAAAACCCTTAACTATACCCAATAAAAACAATTGTGTAACAAATCTTCTTAACTGCAACTTAAGGATGGTCCTGGTTCTTTGAGCCTGACAGGTGGGAACCCCCACCCCCACTGCCCCCACTTTTCACAAAGCCCCACACCAAGGATATACCTTCTGGAAAAGAAAACTAGATTGGGCTACCGAGGATAACCTTTCTACCTTTGCCGAAGAGTCCTGCGATTCTGGCTCACCTGGCGGATGAATTGTCATGCGCTGTTGCCCATCCATAACATAACCTCCCATTTGCTGCCCGTCGGGACTATACGGCGTACCTTGACCTGCTCGGAAGAGAGAAAAGTTACAGAAGGAAGAGAACAGGTAGATACATCCCTCACTTTAAGGGTATCCGATTTCTGCAGGCATTTAAAACAGAAAGTAGCTTTGGCTGGTTGGGGCAGGGAGACATCCAATGGCCTCCTGTTTGGAACCTGTTCCTCAAATCAGCTAGTTTGGCCTGGTGATTGAGGCACCAGGCTAGAAACCAGGTGTCAGTGAGTTCTAGTCCCTCCTTAGGCATGAAAGCTGGCTGGGTGACTTTGGGCCAATCACCAGGTGTCAGTGAGTTCTAGTCCCTCCTTAGGCATGAAAGCCGGCTGGGTGACTTTGGGCCAATCACCAGGTGTCGGTGAGTTCTAGTCCCTCCTTAGGCATGAAAGCCGGCTGGGTGACTTTGGGCCAATCACCAGGTGTCGGTGAGTTCTAGTCCCTCCTTAGGCATGAAAGCCAAGTGTGCAACTTTGGGCCAGTACTTCTTCTCAGTCCAACCCACTTCACCGGCTTGTTGTTGTGGGGGAAGGAAGAATGAGGAAGGAGTATTATTGCCATTTTGAGAGAAATAAAATTAAAAAATAAGGCATTAAAACCTGCTTGGCACCCTTCTGGCGTCTGAAAGTGGCTGGAGAGTATGTTGTGGAAAAGGAACATCCTGGGGAACCAATATATAGAGCGAGCCCTTCCCGCAGACCCTTCGTAGAATGGAATCCCTCCTACCTGTGCGATTTGATTGGTCGATCATCGGTTGAACTATGCGCCTTCGGGCATTAATAAACCTGCAGGAGATATAATGACAGGGATGTTTCATTGGTTCATTATTCTCACTGTTGAAAGCTGTGTGTATACCTGCACCCTAACATATAAATACATATAAATATTCATCCATGTCCATCTTGAATGCGTAGCAGAAAGAGGAAGCTTGAGAGTTCACAAGATGAACTCTGTATGGGACCAAACTGTGACTGAATCTGGGAGTTCTGTTTCGGGTACCACGGAGCCCCCTCCCACAAGGGAACCTGGTCGTAAAGAGGAGGTGTAGCATCCCAGACAATCCTGCAGACGGACCCTGCTGAAGCATCGCTTACATGCCATGTCCTGGATAGAACAATAATCTTTTTCTGCCGTCCTCACCACTGGAGTGAGCTGCAAAATTAATCTTTTTCTGCCATCCTCACCACTGGAGTGAGCTGCCAATATTCTTTTTCTGCCGTCCTCACCATTGGAGTGAGCTGCCAATAATCTTTTTCTGCCGTCCTCACCACTGGAGGTGAGCTGCAAAAATAATCTTTTTCTGCCATCCTCACCACTGGAGTGAGCTGCCAATAATCTTTTTCTGCCGTCCTCACCACTGGAGTGAGCTGCAAAAATAATCTTTTTCTGCCATCCTCACCACTGGAGTGAGCTGCAAAAATAATCTTTTTCTGCCATCCTCACCACTGGAGTGAGCTGCCAATAATCTTTTTCTGCCGTCCTCACCACTGGAGTGAGCTGCAAAAATAATCTTTTTCTGCCATCCTCACCACTGGAGTGAGCTGCAAAAATAATCTTTTTCGCCATCCTCACCACTGGAGTGAGCTGCAAAAATAATCTTTTTCTGCCGTCCTCACCACTCTCTGCAACCTTGGCAACTTGAAGATGTGTGGACTTCAACTCCCAGAATTCCCCAGTCATCATGTTCCCAGAATTCCCCAGCCACCTATACTTTCAGCAGGTCTTGCATCCACAAGAGTGACAACAGGGAGGGTCTCCTCCCCAGGACAAAGGGAGCTTTACAACTGGTTGGGGCAGATGAGATGCAGATTCAGCCAAAGGAACATTTCCTGTTTCTTCTCTTCTCACTTTCTGATTCTTACCAGTTATTGACCTGCAGAATCGTCAGTCCCGTGTCCTGGGCTAACTGTTTCTTCTGTTCTTCCGAGGGATAAGGGTGCTGCAAAAGAGAGAAAAGAGAGAGGAGAGTTTCTCTGAAACTTTGAGCCAACTCTCTTTGCTCCCTGGGATTTGGAACCGAAGGCAAAAAAAAGTTGTGCTTTCAAATGCTAACATTTATATTATTATGACTCTTTTTTTAAAGTCACTTTTTAAAGCCATCTGTGTGTGTGTGTGTGTGTGTGTGTGTGTGTGTGTGTGAGAGAGAGAGAGAGAGAGAGAGAGAGAGAGAGAGAGAGAGAGAGAGGAGAGATTTCCTTCCCTCTTCCATCATTCCATATTGTTTGTTTTGTCTTCTAAGGAACTTGGGATATTGTGTATGGGAAAGACGGGCCCCCAACTCTTTCACTTCTTGGGTGGAAAAAAGGGAGAGGGAGGGGAGGGGAGAGGAGAGGAGAGGAGAAGCAGGAGGAGGAGGAGAAAGAGAGCAAGCAAAAGAGAGAGAAAGAAGAGGAGGAGGAGGAGAAAGAGAAAGAGGAGAAGGAGAAAAGGAGAAACAGAAGAAAGAAAGAAAGAAAGAAAGAAAGAAAGAAAGAAAGAAAGAAAGAAGAGGAGGAGGAGAAGTAGAATGAGAAGGAGGAGGAAGAAGAGAAAGAGGAAGAAGAAGAGGAAGAGGGGAAGGAGGAGAAGAAGGAGAAGGGAAATGGCATCTTGCTCCTCCTTCTTGACTGGAGATGGACATCATCTTGTCTTCCTCTCCTTCCCTCCCCTCCTGGTCCTTTGAGTTGCCAGCTCAGATGATGGATGAGCCAGTCTGGGCTCAGAGGTCACAGCCGGACCTCCACAACTCCCGCCTCCCATCTGACAACCAGCTGATGGATGAGCAAAGGTCCTCCCAGACCTCAGAGGTCACAAGGAGTGGGGCACCAGCCGGGGGATGAATTCCAAGTCTTGGATCATTACCCCCTCAGGTTTTTGACACCTTGGCCATCATCCCCCTTGAGTTTCCAATCCAGCTGGGGCTTCCAGTTGGAAATGGGGTTGTCCAGGAACGGGGAAAATGTCTCCATCAACTACAGTCCATGTTTGGTCTGTTGCAAACACCTGGATGGCCACTCTAGATAGGCAGTGGCAGATAGGACAGCGCTCCAGAGGGTTAAAGTCATTGCCCGGAGGATCATTGTTGCCCCCTCCCCTCTTTGGAAGAGCTTTAGAGCGCCTTAAGAAAGTTCAAAACATTTTTAAAGATCCATCTCATCCTGGGCACCCTTTTTTTTGAACTATTACCATCTGGCAGACGGTACCGGACAATAAAAACTGAGGACAAATAGGCTGAAAAACAGCTTCTATCCCAGGGCGGTAACTATATTGAATTCTACTGCACAGTGCAATATTAATGCAATATCAGAGGTTTTTTTAATTCAATTGTATAGAAGGTGAAAGGCGTGTGTTTGTGTTTTTATTCTTATAGTTATAATGCAGACTGAAGACGGCATTTAATTTCGTTGTACGAGGTGCAGTGACAATAAAGTAAAACTTAAAAATACCTAGAAACGTAACGTCAGTTGCTCTTATCCATTTTTAGCCATGGTGAATTCTCTCCCTAAAGCAGTGTTTCTCAACCTTGGAAGCTTGAAGATGGGTGGACTTCAACTCCCAGAATCCCCCAGCCAGCAGCGCTGGCTGGGGGATTCTGGGAGTTGAAGTCCACCCATCGTCAAGCTTCCAAGGTTGAGAAACACTGCCCTAAAGCAAGCTGGTTAATTTAAGAGTTCGGAGTTTCTCCTGCCCTGCTCGGATGCTGGCACTCCCTGTGAAGGAAGACCAGCTGCCTAAAGGATTTGGGTCTGCGGGGTTGATGGCCGACGGGCTCGGATCCTGCAGGGACGGAGAAAGTAGCTCTCTCCCAGCCCAGCCTCCTTTCGCTCTTGGCTGAATGACTTGCTGACAACCTCCATCTAGGTCACAAGCCTTTGGGGTGAGCTAGGGGGCTATGGGTTCCTGTCACCCGGAGAGTAACTGAGATTGGAGGAGGGTGACAAATTGAGGAGAATTAGAAAGATAGCCGGCTGGATCTACTGTGGATAGATGGTAGATATGTGGATAGGTAGGTAGGTAGAAAGATTAGTTGATGGATGGATGGATGGATGGATGGATGATAGATAGATAGAGATAGATAGATAGATAGATAGATAGATAGATAAATGACAGATAGATAGATAGATAGATGATAGATAGATATAGATTAGAGAGAGAGACATTATAGATAGAGATAGAGATAGATAGATAGATAGATAGATAGATAGATAGATATAGATGAGAGAGAGAGACATTATAGATAGAGATAGAATAGAATAGGATAGGATAGAGTAGAGTAGAGTAGAGTAGAGTAGAGTAGAGTAGAGTAGAGTAGAGTAGAGTAGAGTAGAGTAGAGTAGAATAGAATAGAATAGAATAGAATAGAATAGAATAGAATAGAATAGAATAGAATAGAATAGAATAGAATAGAAGAGTTGGAAGGGACCTTGGAGGTCTTCTAGTCCAACCCTCTGCCCAGGCAGGAAACCCTACACCACTTCAGACAAATGGTTGTCCAACATCTTCTTAAAAATTTCCAGTGTTGGGGCATTCACAACTTCTGCAGGCAAGTTGTTCCACTTATTAATTGTTCTGACTGTCAGGATAGATAGATAGATAGATAGATAGATAGATAGATAGATAGATAGATAGATAGGACAGATAGATAGAAGACAGACAGATAGATTAGAACGACAGAGATTATAGATAGAGAGATAGAGATAGATGATAGATAGATAGATAGATAGATAGATAGATAGATAGATAGATAGATGGATGGATGGATGGATGGATGGATGGATGGATGGATGGATGGAGGATGATGGATGGATGGATGGATGGCAGACAAGATAGAGGGTAGATGATAGGTAATAAATTATAGAAGATGATAGATATATGACAGATGGCTGGCTGGATAGATGATAGATAGATAGATAGATAGATAGATAGATAGATAGATAGATAGATAGATGAGAGAGAGAGAGAGAGATGAGAGATAGAATAGATAGACAGACAGACAGATGGACAGGGCACCCATCATTCCATTCCCCACACAATCGATCCAGATCCCATGGCAATGAAGGATGGTTTCGAATCTCAGCTTAGGAAGGTTGCATGAACTCATGGCCAACCATGACCTGGATGATTGAGAATCTCCAGAGAGATTTGGTCACTAAACAAATGGGTTGTAAGTCGAGGACTGCCCGTAACATACCCAATAATAATTAAAAGAAAATGAATGAGGGTCTCCGGCAGGGCAGGGCAAAGCCTTCCACCCCCCCACCCCCCACCCCCCTTTACCCGTAGCTGCCTCCTTCACAAACCTCCCCCCTCCCTTCCCTGCCAATGCTGTTCAGGGTAATTGGCCAGAATTGATTACCTTTCACCAGCCTCTAATAGCTTTATAGCTCCTTCAATTAGCCACTAATTGGCCAGCGCTCATTAACTTGCCTTTGTTTAACTAACCAGGGAGAGGCTCTGTCTAACTGCCTGGCACGGAAGGAAGCGGTTGGGCAGTGGGCACGGAAGGACGTCTCTGCTTAGCTCGGATGCCCAGCAAGGATCTTCTGAGTTGCAGCCCCCACAACTACAAGCTGGACTTCAGACCACGGAATGCCTTTCGAGTTCTTACCGACAAGTGTTGAAAAAGCCACGCGCGCATAATATTCGTGGCCACCTTGGGGAAAATGCCACGTTTCTTGTTTCTCTTCTTGTCCCGGGTCCAGGTCGTCGTCTTCTCCCGTGCTGGGGGAGGCCACGCTGTTATCCAGGCAATCTCCTGCGAAGGGCAGGAGTGGAGGGAAGGGAAGGAAAGAGAAGAAGGGGGAAAGAGAAGAGACGAGGAGAGGAGGAGAGGGAAACGGAATAGAGAAGAGAAAAGTAAGAGATAGAGAGGAGGGGAGGAGGGGAGGGGAGAAAAGGAGAGGAGATGATTAGAAGACGAGAGGAGAGGAGAGGAGAGGAGAGGAGAGGAGAGGAGAGGAGGAGGAGAGGAGAGAGAGAAGAGAAGAGAAGAGAAGAGAAGAGAAGAGAAGAAAGAGAAGAGAAGAGAAGAGAAGAGAGAGAGAAGAGAAAGGGAGAAAGGAAAAGTGGAGGGAAGAGAAAAGAAAAAGAAGAGAAGGGGAAGCGAAGGGAAGGGAATAAAAGAGGATGAGAGGAAAGAAGAGATGAAGAAGAGGGAAGGGAAAAGTGGAGAGAAGAAGGGAGAAAGGAAAAAGTGAAGAGAGAAGGAAGACAAGGAAGAGAAGGGAATAAAAAAGGAGGAGAGGAAAGAAGAGAAGAAGGGAGAAAGGGAAAGTGGAAAGAAGGGAAGGGAAGGGAAGAGGAAGGGAGAAAGGAAAAAGTGGAGGGAAGAGAGAAGGGGAAGGAAATAAAAGAGGAGGAGAGGAAAGAAGAGAAGAAGAAGGGAGAAAGGGAAAGTGGAGAGAAGGGAAGGGAAGAGGAAGGGAGAAAGGAAAAAGTGGAGAGAAGAGAGAAGGAGAATGAAATAAAAGAGGAGGAGAGGAAAGAGAGAAGAAGAAGGGAGAAAGGGAAAAGAGAAGAGGGGAGAAAAGGAGAAAAGAGGAGAGGAGAAAAGAGAAGTATCTGAATGTAGTGGTAAACGAGCATTCCTGTTGACTGAGAAGGGTCCCGTTTCCCCGGCTATTTTTGTCCTGCTCAGCCAACAATCTTAGCTTGAAATTGAACAATCTCCTGGACATAAATTGTTTCAACTCCTACCCTCAAAACGACGCTACGGAGCATTGCACAACTAGACACAAGGACAGTTTTTCCCCGAACGTCATCACTCGGCTAAACAAATAATTCCCTCAACACTTGTCAAACTATTCACTAAGTCTGCATTACTATTACTATTAGTCTTCTCATCGTTCCTATCACCCATCTCCTCCCGCTTATGACTGTACGACTGTAACTTCTTGCTTGTATCCTTACGATTTATGTGATTGTTTCCTAGTACGATTTGATTGCTTATTTGTACCCTAGGACTATCATTAAGTGTTGTACCTTATGATTCTTAACGCATGTATCTTTTCTTTTTATGTACACCGAGAGCGTATGCACCAAAGACAAATTCCTCGTGTGTCCAATCACACTTGGCCAATAAAGAATTCTTTCTGTCTGTCTGTCTGTCTGTCTGTCTGTCTATCTATCTATCTTCCTTTCTTTCTTTTTCTTTCTTTTTCTATCCATCCATCCATCCCTATCTTTCTTCCTCTTCCTCTCCTCCTCCTCCTCTTCTTCTTCTCCTTCTTTCCTTTTGTATCTTTTCTTTTTATGTAAACCAAGAGCGTATGCACCAAGACAAATTCCTTGTGTGTCCAATCATACTTGGCCAATAAAGAATTCTATTCTATTCTATTCTATTCTATTCTATTCTATTCTATTCTATATTCTATTCTATTCTATTCTATTCTATTCTATTCTATTCTATTCTACTCCATTCCTTTCCCTTGTTGACTTTTTTTTTTAATCGATCAAACTGGGCCATTTCCACACTCAGAAAAAGAGAAAATGGCGTTCATGGTTGGAACTTTTCTTGCCTTACCTAACAAGTCCCAAGTCCAAGATTTTTCTCCTTCTGACAATTCCAGCCCCCTCGAACAGCTGCTCCGCTTTTATATCCTCTGGCTAAAAATGTGCTTAAAAGCCTTGCCTGGAGGGGATGTAAATTATGCATCCCAGAGTCCTCCTCATCAGCCCCCTATATGAGCGCTGAATCCACCGTGCTTCCTTCTCTCCGCCCCCCCCCCCCATCTTTGAAGATGTGCAAAGTCACACAACTGGAGCGGGTATGTCAGAGTATCAGAAAAATGGCACAACTCTTCACCAGAATGTACTTAGCTACTTTAGGAGGCATGGACTTCAACTCCCAGAATTTCCCTACTGGCTAAAGCTTATCCTGACCCACCCTTTGGAACATTGTATAAAATGTCCCCTTCTCCTACCGTCATCATCATCATCCTCTTTTAATGATGCCATAATCCCTTGCGGGGTAGAATCAGGGCAACTGAATAGAGCCGAGTGTTTACTGGCCAGATGCCCTTCCTGTCGCCAATGCAGAGTTTTTTTTTCAGCAGATGTATTCTCTGTCAGCACTTCAAGCTGCATTTACTCTAGTGCTGACATAAGAAGGAGAAGCGGAGGCGTCTGGAAAGGGACATTTGACTTTTCACCTACTTATTTTCCCTGGAGATAATGAGATGGGATGGGAGGGGGGAAATTCCTGTGAGCTGGAGCAGTAGATTAGGGGTAGAGTGACTTGGAAGATGGCCAATGAGTACAGAGGAGTGGGGAAAGGAAAGGAAGGGTTTTGGGTCAGGAAGTCAGTGTTGGCTATGATGGAGTCGGAGTTAGAATGTCGTGCTTAATAAATGAGAGTTTTTCATCAAAGACTTTGTTTGAAATGCAATTTATTTGAGACGACCTCGAAACCTGACATTCTCATTGTGCCCAGAGAGAGAAATATCTGCCTCTACCTAGGATCGAACTCATAGCCTCCTGATTGTGAGGCAAGAGCTCCACCTCTAGGCCACTGCACCACTCCCATTTTCTACTATGTTTCTCTGAAAATAAGACCCGGTCTTATATTTTGTTGGCGTTCCGAAAGAGCCACTAGGTCTTATTTTGGGGGAAATCCGGTATGTGCATTTTCCACCCTACAGTTCCTCTCATAGCGAAAATGTAGGACCTCCACCACCTCTCTGGCCCCCTCCTCCTTATACCTTGGTCACTGCAGTTGTCTCCACTCTGGGAGGCAATCCCACCGCTGGAGGGTCCCGGCGTCCCTGAGGGTGTTGACCCCGTCTCATCGTGGTCTCGGATCCAGGAGTTGCTCTGCACACAAAGAGAATGGTGCATCATTCACAGGGACCGAATCCTGGGGTTCAAGTCATCCAATTTGGGTATATTTTGAGACTCTTGAAAAAGCGCAGAGAAGAGCAACAAAGATGATTAGGGGGCTGGAGGCTAAAACGTACAATGAACGGTTGCAGGATATGTCTAGTTTAGCGCGAGCTGTTGTGGGTGCACCTAGATACGCCCACATTACACCAATTCTCCGCGAGTTGCACTGGCTCCCTATTGGTCTCCGGGCACAATTCAAGGTGTTGGTTATTACCTTTAAAGCCCTACGTGGCTCAGGGCCAGGGTATCTTCGAGACCGCCTTCTGCCCCATAGCTCCCAGCGACCGGTAAGATCCCACAGAGTTGGTCTCCTCCGGGTCCCGTCAGCTAAACAATGCCGGCTCGCGGGCCCGCGGGGAAGGGTCTTCTCTGTGGCTGCCCCGGCTCTCTGGAACCAGTTACTTTCTGAAGTCTGGACCATCCCCACCCTATTGGCCTTGGGTGGGGATGGCCTTGGAAGGGACCTTGGAGGTCTTCTAGTCCAACCCCCTGCTCAGGCAGGAGACCCTACACCATTCCAGACAAATGACTTGTCCAATCTCTTCTTAAAAACTCCAGTGATGGAGCACCCACAATTTCTGGAGGCAAGTAGTTCCACTGATGAATTGTTCTCCCTTTAAGTACATTCAAGTAGTCCTACCCAATTCCTGCAACCGCTTTTCATCGGTGAGGCTATCATCGCTCCACCGTCCCCAAGAACGACAGCCTCACCTGTGGAATCTCTGCCTGCCACCAAACAGTGGAAAGCGCAGGAAAAACTTCCCTGATTTTGTTGTTAAACCGGACGATCCCACCCTCCTTCTCTCCTAGCCCCCCCCCCCCCCCCCCTGCTTCCCCCCCCCCCCCACTCCTTTCAAGAGGGCTGCTGCTGCAGCTTCGCGGGGATTTCCCCCCTCCCTGTGTGTCCCCCCCATGGGTCATTATCTTGCCCCCCCCTCCTCATTTCAACCCAGTGAACCGAGTTCAAAGGAGTACAAGCGGGGCCTCTCCGGGTTGCTCTGGGGAGGAACCAGCAGCTACCGAAGGGGCTCGGATTGCAGCCCACCCCCCCCACCACTGGCCAGGTGGGGGTGGGTGGGAGAACTGGCCCCCAGCCTTCCTGCCCTCCCTGATTAACCCACCGCCGCTGATCACAGGAGTCCTGCAAAGACGGGGCGGGGGGTTCAAGGGGTTAAGGAGCTGCGGCTTTAGAGGAGGGGGATTCGGCACTTGCAGCCCACAGTAAATGGGAAAGGGGGGGGACATGGGAGGTGGGTGGGTCAGGGGGTCGCTGTTAGGAGCTCTGGGAAGCGAAGGGAGCAACACTCCCAGTTAATGAAGACCAGACTCGACGGCTTTGCTCGAAGCGCCTTGATCAGAGACGAGGCTGGGACCCCCGGGCAATCCGAGACCCTTCCCCTCCAATATTCCACCGCCCCCTTAAAAAAGGGACAGCGCTGGACCCATACAGCGAGAGGGGTTTGGAGCTGGGTTTTCAAGGGAGGGGGATTCATCACACAGTTGGGCATCTCAAGCAGTCCTGAGCAGGATATGGGTGGGGAGGGGGCTTGGGAGAGAAAAAGGGGTCCCTTCCTTCCCGGAATCGCTCTCTTTTGCCATGGGGCGGAGGGGAAATTCTTTGGACCCGAGACCGGATTTCGAGGGAGAAGGGAGAATGGAAAGGGAGGATGGTGGAAAGCACAGTAAACTGGGAATAGAATTCTTTGTTTATTGCTATCCTGCTTTACAAAAAGGAGAGGCTATATCCAACATACCTACCTTCCTCCTATTTCCCCACCCCCCCACCCCGCAACAACAACCCTGTGAGGTGGGTTGGGCTGGCCCAAAGTCACTCATTTGGTTTTCATGTCTTGGGGGAATGGAACTAGAACTCCCAGTCTCCTGGTCATTGGCCCAAAGTCACCCAGCCAGATTGTATGCCTAAAGCCGGACTAGAATTCCACCACTTCCTGGTGATTGGTGCAGAGTCACCCAACCAGCTTTCGTGACTAAGGCAGAACTAGAACTCCCAGTCTCCTGGTAATTGATCCAAAGTCACCCAGCCAGATTGTATGCCTAAAGCCGGACTAGAATTCACCACTTCCTGGTGATTGGTGCAGAGTCACCCAACCAGCTTTCGTGACTAAGGCAGAACTAGAACTCCCAGTCTCCTGGTAATTGATCCAAGTCACCCAGCCAGATTGTATGCCTAAAGCCGGACTAGAATTCACCACCTCCTGGTGATTGGCGCAGAGTCACCCAGCTGGCTCTCGTGCCTGAGGCGGAACTAGAACTCACAGTCTCCTAGTGAGTGACCCAAAGTCACCCAGTCAGATTTTATGCCTAAAACCGGACTAGAATTCACCACTTCCTGGTGATTGGCGCAGAGTCACCCAACCAGCTTTCGTGCCTGAGGCGGAACTAGAACTCCCAGTCTCCTGGTGACTGATCCAAAATCACCCAGCCAGATTGTATGCCTAAAGCAGGATTAGAACTCACAGCCTCCTGCTTTTTAGCCTGATCTACTGAACCAGTAGATCATACTAGCTCTCGATTGGGAACGGAGATGGCTTGCCTTAGGACACTGTGTCCCTATTTTTCAAACCAAACCACATTTTGTTCATTTGTCTGAACGCAGCTCCACATCCTGACTTGGTCCAGAAGTCTATTTGAAAGGCCGAAATGAGCTGGCTTTTCAAATAAAATATTATATTAAAAAAACCTTACTCCTGGTATTTAGCTACCCTGTTTCCCCCAAAATAAAAGACCCCCCCTGATAATAAGTCCAGTCAGGCTTTGGCGCGCATGGCAATAAGGCCAAGCGCTTATTTCAAGGTTCAAAAAAATATAAGGCAGGGTCCTATTTTCGGGGAAACACAGTATCTATATCTATCTATCTATCTATCTATCTATCTATATCTATCTATCTATCTATCTACTGTATCTATCCATTCCCTTATTTATCTATCATGTCTGTCTATATCTATCTATCTAATCCAAATGGATTAGATATCCATCTATCCATCCATCTATCCATTTTTCTATCAGCTATCTATCTATCTATCTATCTATCTATCTATCTTTCTATCTATCATCTATCTATCTATCATTTATATCTATCTATCTACCTGTTTCTCTCAAAATAAGACATCCCCTGATAATAAGCCCAATCGGGCTTTTGAGCGCATGGCAATAAGGCCAAGAGTTTATTTCGGAGTTCAAAAAAAATATAAGGCAGGGTCCTATTTTCGGGGAAACACAGTATCTATCTATCTATCTATCTATCTATCTATCTATCTATCTATCTATCTATCGTATCTATCCATTCCCTTATTTATCTATCATGTCTGTCTATATCTATCTATCTAATCCAAATGGATTAGATATCCATCTATCATCCATCTATCCATTTTTCTATCATCTATCTATCTATCTATCTATCTATCTATCTATCTATCTATCTATCATTTATATCTATCTATCTAACCTGTTTCCTCCAAAATAAGACCTCCCCTAATAATAAGCCCAATCGGGTTTTTGAGCGCACGGCAATAAGGCCAAGCGCTTATTTCAAGGTTCAAAAAAATATAAGGCAGGGTCCTATTTTCGGGGGAAACATGGTAAAAGGAGCCTCTCTGATCAACAGAAGTATATCTTTGAAAGGAGTAGCGGGAGGGTGGCAAATAGGAAACTCAGGTAATCCTCAACTTACGACCCACAACAGAGCCCACAACGGAGTACCCACGGAGCGAATCCCTGCCGTGGGTACATTAGTAACGTGGTTCTTAAACGAATCCGGATTTCCCCCATGAACTTTGCTTGCCAGACGTCTGCAAAAAGTTTGATCACGTGACCCCGGGACACTGCGACCTGCGTCATAAATGCGAGTCGGTTGCCAAGAAAGTCTGAATTTTGATCGGCTGACCGTGGGGTCAGGCTGCAACGGTCATAAAAGTATGAAAACATGATCATAAGTGGCTTTTTTTCAGCGGTCATTAAATGAACTGTCATAAGTCGAGGACTACCTGTATTACGCAGGAGGCTGCCTGCAGAGAGGCTTTTAAGCAAAACTTTCCTGCAGCTTGTTTGTTTCGGATGACGGCTGCTTGTTCCCACGTTCGGTGCCCAGCTTGGAAATCAGCTCTCTGACATGGCCAGGAAGGGCCTTTCCCTCTCCACGTTGCCCCCCCCTCCTCTCCTGTATGTCTCTCCCCCGCCTCCCCCCCAAAAAAGCCCCTCTGCCCCCTCAAATCCCCCCAACAATAAGCCCCAATATAGCCTGTGGGTATATTAAAAATTCAGGCAAATCGCTGGCAGCCAAGAAAATGACTTCGATGCATTAGCGTGCTTCGAGGAGAAAAAAAGAGAGAGAGGGAGGGAGGGGGATTTGTGGTAGGGGGTGGGAGAATTGAGGGGTGGGAGATACCACGCTGGCCAACCACGTCTCCTTCATTACAAGCTGACTGTCAGGGGTGATTAATTTCCAAGCCCCTGATCCTTTTCTTTGCAACTTACGAATGTTGCAAGGATGGAGATGGTGAGTCTCTCTCTCTCTCTTTTCCTCCCTCCCTCTCTCTCTCTCTCTTTTCCTCTCTCTCTCTCTTCCTCTCTCCCTCTGTGTGTGTGTGTGTGTGTCTGTCTGTCTCTGTCTGTCTGTCTGTCTGTCTCTGTCTCTCTCTCTCTCTTTTCCTCTCTCTCTCTGCCTCTCTCCCTCTGTGTGTGTGTGTGTGTGTGTGTGTCTGTCTGTCTGTCTCTGTCTGTCTGTCTGTCTCTGTCTCTCTCTCTCTCTTTTCCTCTCCCTCTCTCCCTCTCTGTCTCTCTTTTCCTCTCTCTCTCTGCCTCTCTCCCTCTGTGTGTGTGTGTGTCTGTCTGTCTGTCTCTGTCTGTCTGTCTGTCTGTCTCTGTCTCTCTCTCTCTCTTTTCCTCCCTCCCTCCCTCTCTCTCTCTCTTTTCCTCTCTCTCTCTGCCTCTCTCCCTCTGTGTGTGTGTGTGTGTGTGTCTCTGTCTGTCTCTGTCTGTCTGTCTCTGTCTCTCTCTCTCTCTCTCTCTCTTTTCCTCTCCCTCTCTCCCTCTCTGTCTCTGTCTCTTGTCTATCTGTCTGTCTCTCTCTTTCTCATAAAGCAGCAACACTGTGTGAGAAATGACCCTTTTTCAACAACTGCTAGACAGTGTTGAGAAAATGCCCGCAACAGGCAACTAACACAACGCTCTGTTTCCACAGAGCAAAAGAAAAGAAAAGAAAAGAAAAGAAAAGAAAAGAAAAGAAAAGAAAAGAAAAGAAAAGAAACCATAATGGCAAATGTGCCATCGCCAATAAGAATCCTTCTCCAATTGCTGCCAGATCGCTTCCCTTTCGAACGGCCCAACAGTACAAGAACACACAAACTTCATCGCCAAAAAAATAAATAAATAAAAATCCCAGCCTTTGTGAAAGAAATCCGATTCCTGCCAAAACCGGCACATCTGCTTGTGCAGATAAAGGCTTCCACATGTAGCGTTGCTGTCAGAAGAAAGAAGCATGGAAGTCAGAGCGTCTCCGACAAATCCCCAACTTTGGAGACCGGGCCATGCGCGCTTAGCAGGGATCACGGTCCCCAAAAACGCCACAGTTGAGAAGAAGGGACCTTATTTGGGGTCTGCAATTTCTGCCCTGGTCGGGAGCTATCAATGACCCCCCTGCCTCTGCCCACCCCAGGCCCCGGGGCAGTTAGCCGTCAAAGGGCAAAGTGGGGCTGTTGCCCACCTCGGCTGTCTGGGCCCAAAAGGCTGCCCGACTTTGGACCAACCTGGTCGGAGAGACAAGCCCCCCCGAAGTCTTCCAGGTCCGACTTGGAGCCTCCGTCTCGGTCGTCGATGACCAGGTCGATGGGCATCTTCCCCTTCAGGCAGGTGATGTAGCGGTGGCAGAAGTTGTCACAGAGGTCATGAACCTGGAAGGCGAAGGGGGGGGGAAAGGAAAGGAGGTGGGAAGGGAAGGGAAGGGAAGGGAAGGGAAGGGAAGGGAAGGGAAGGAAAGGAAAGGAAAGGAAAGGAAAGGAAAGGAAAGGAAAGGAAAGGAGGTAGGAAGGGAAGGGAAGGGAAGGGAAGGGAAGGGAAGGGAAGGGAAGGGAAGGAAAGGAAGGAAATAAGAAAGACAAGGAAGAAGGGAGGGGGAAGGAATATTGAACATAGGAAGGAAGGGAGGATGGATGGAAGGAAGGGAGGAAGGAAGGGAGGGAGGAAGGATGGAAGGGAGGAAGGAAGGAAGGAAAGAGGAAGGAGAGAGGAGAGGAAAGGAAAGGAAAGGAAAGGAAAGGAAAGGAAAGGAAAGGAAAGGAGGGGGGAAGGGAAGGGAAGGGAAGGGAAGGGAAGGGAAGGGAAGGAAAGGAAAGGAAAAAGGAAAGGGAAAGGAAAGGAAAGGAAAGGAAAGGAAAGAAGGAGGTAGGAAGGGAAGGGAAGGGAAGGGAAGGGAAGGAAGGGAAGGAAAGGAAAGGAAAGGAAAGGAAGGAAAGGAAAGGAAAGGAAAGGAAAGGAGGTAGGTAGGAAGGGAGGGAAGGGAAGGGAAGGAGGGAGGGAAGGGAAGGAAAGGAAAGGAAAGGAAAGGAAAGGAAAGGAAAGAGGGGGTAGGAAGGGAAGGGAAGGGAGGGAAGGGAAGGGAAGGGAAAGGAAAGGAAAGGAAAGGAAAGGAAAGGAAAGGAAGGAAAGGAAAGGAAAGGAAAGGAAGAAAAGGAAAGAAGAAAGGAAAGAAAGGAAAGGAAAGGAAAGGAGGTGGGAGGGAAGGGAAGGGAAGGAAGGGAAGGGAAGGGAAGGAAGGGAAGGAAGGGAAGGAAAGGAAAGGAAAGGAAAGGAAAGGAAAGGAAAGGAAAGGAAAGGAAAGGAAAGGAAAGGAAAGGAGGTAGGAAGGGAAGGGAAGGGAAGGGAAGGGAAGGGAAGGGGAAGGGAAGGAAAGGAAAGGAAAGGAAAGGAAAGGAAAGGAAAGGAAAGGAAAGGAAAGGAAAGGAGGTGAAGGGTAGGGAAGGGAAGGGAAGGGAGGGAAGGAAGGGAAGGGAAGGGAAGGAAAGGAAAGGAAAGGAAGGAAAGGAAAGGAAAGGAAAGGAAAGGGAAGGAGGTAGGAAGGGAAGGGAAGGGAAGGGAAGGGAAGGGAAGGGAAGGGAAGGGAAGGAAAGGAAAGGAAAGGAAAGGAAAGGAAAGGAAAGGAAAGAAGGAGGTAGGAAGGGAAGGGAAGGGAAGGAAGGGAAGGGAAGGGAAGGAAAGGAAAGGAAAGGAAAGGAAAGGAAAGGAAAGGAAAGGAAAGGAAAGGAGGTAGGAAGGGAAGGGAAGGGAAGGGAAGGGAAGGGAAGGGAAGGGAAGGAAAGGAAAAGGAAAGGAAAGGAAAGGAAAGGAGGTAGGAAGGGAAGGAAGGGAAGGGAAGGGAGGGAAGGGAAGGGAAGGAAGGGAAGGGAAGGAAAGGAAAGGAAAGGAAAGGAAAGGAGGTAGGAAGGGAAGGGAAGGGAAGGGAAGGGAAGGGAAGGGAAGGAAAGGAAAGGAAAGGAAAGGAGAAAGGAAAGGAAAGGAAAGGAAAGGAAAGGAAAGGAAAGGAGGTAGGAAGGGAAGGGAGGGAAGGGAGGAAGGGAAGGGGAAGGAAGGGAAGAAGGAAGGGAAGGAAAGGAAGGAAATAAGAAAGACAAGGAAGAAGGGAGGGGGAAGGAATATTGAACATAGGAAGGAAGGGGAGGATGGATGGAAGGAAGGGAGGAAGGAAGGGAGGGAGGAAGGATGGAAGGGAGGAAGGAAGGAAGGAAAGAGGAAGGAGAGAGAGAGAGGAAGGAAAGGAAAGGAAAGGAAAGGAAAGGAAAGGAAAGGAAAGGAAAGGAAAGGAAAGGAAAGGAAAGGAAAGGAAAGGAAAGGAAGAAGATAAGAGCCTTTCCAGAACTGACCGGGATATAAATTGCAGAAACAAATATATACATGATAGAACTTCTCCTTAAAGCCTTCTTAAAGCTGTGTTTGCAACCTTGGCAATTTCAAAGAAGTGTGGGAACGTCCACTCCCAGAATTCCCCAGCTCTTAAAATGGTTGAAAAAAAACACTGCCTTAAAGCCTAAGCTTTAAGTATAAAGTATATTTAAGTATACAGTATAAAGTCTAAATTGAAGTATATCTCATGAGCAAAGCATTTGGGGGGGGTCAGCCTTCCACTGGGTACCCCCAGTGTTTAGCGCCAGACCTCTGGATCAAACCCTCTGGAATCTGGATTCAAAGTCTATTTTTAAGCCTTCTCTCTCTGTTGCTTCCATAGGAGGCGACCCTCACAATTGGAGCCAGCTGCTGTTGGGAGCGAGAAAAAGGAAATTATTTGCAATTTTTTTGGTTTGGAGAGTTTGGTTTTTGTTTTGTTTTAAATTCCATTGTTGAAGATAACAAGGTTTCCTCCACTCCTAGATAAAATTCTGGATTTTTGGCTTCACTGTTCCAAGAGACCTCTCAAAAACATTTTTTTCCCCCCAGGACAAAGTGGCGATTACAATTTTACAGAAACATGGAAAAATGCGTGGAGATGAGGCATTGCTAGATACCGCTGGGACATCTGAGGCCTGGTTGCTTTGTAGAAAGGAAAAAGCCAAGATTCTAGTCCTCATGAGGGCCAGGTAGGTAGCTTTGAAGTTTTAAGGGCTAGGCATGGGTGCTAAATAATATTTGCAGAGGTTTTGGGCTGTTGCCTGGATGGAAAACTCTGTTTTCTCATCCAACACTTCCAATTCATGAAAAGTTAAATATGCAAACACGCTTCAAAATGATGTAGTTTGCAGGACATGGACATGTGGGCTGAAAAATGCAGTTTTTCATGTCTGCAGAATCCGAAATGAGTTTCCACAGAGATAAATCACATAGGCTCGCAGCTTTTCTGCTTATAGCAAACAGCATTTGGTCTGTTTTCCACCTTGAGTTCTTTGTAAAAAAAAAAAATAATAATAACAATAATACAGGCAGGATATCAATAAAATAAAATATAAAAGAAAAGAACAAAGTAAAAAAAAAATCACACAATCTGACATATCCTGAGTTCTACTCCCGCCTTTAGACACAAAGCCAGCTGGGTGGCCTTGGGCCAGCCACTCTCTCTCAGCCCTAAGAGGCAAGCAATGGCAAAGCACTTCGGAAATCTTGCCAAGAAACCGCAGGGATTTGTCGAGGCAGTGGTCATCACCAGCCAAAAAACTGATTCAAAGGGACAAAAACACCCTCCCACACACACACATACACCATAAAACAGATTCCTTGCTTGGCTTGCAAAATTGCTAGCCTTGTTCTTATTTTATTTTTGGAGGTTATTGGGGGAAACGGAAGGGAAGGGGAGGAGGAGGGGACACAAACCAAACTTCAGAAGAAACACCCTTACCTTTTCTAACTCCAGAAGGTGAAATCTCAGCACTTGAATAGCCTGGATCATCTACAATTACAAAAAGGAGGGAGTGGGTGGGAAATTGGATCGTGGCTTACCGTGTAAACCTCTGTTTGTTCATTGCAATGCACTTCGCTGGACATCGTGGCTTGTTCGGAACGTTGTGGGGGTCAGGCAGACCGTGCGATAAGTCAGCTGGGTTTTTAAGGTTTTAACCCAGAGAAATTCACAACGGGAAATCGTTCCAAGGAGAACCATCATGGACCAAGCGTGAATTGGACAGGGAGGCTTAAAATATCTAGAGAGGCAAAAGTGAACTCTGCATCTCACAAGCATAGAGATGGAAACAGCTCTGTCTGGGGCAGTTTTGAAGCTGATCTCAAAGGTAGGTTAGAACAGGGAGTCTGCAAACCTTAAACACTCAAAGAGCCATTTGCACCCGTTACCCACAGAAAAGAAAACACCGGGAGCCACAAAACCAGATGTTTTGGAAACTATTCTAGATAGTGTTTCTCCACCTCGACAACGTGAAGATGGGTGTGGACTTCAACTCCCAGAATTCCCCAGCCGGTCTTGCGGATGCATGGATGTATAAAGAGGAGGGAGGGACCGATTCAGCGGACAGAGAAATGAAAGGGGGATCATTACAAGGGAAAAGAGGAATAAAGAGAGAACGAAAACAAAGTTGGAAAAACAATAACACTTCGGGGGTGGGAGGGGGTGTCACTTCTTTGTTTTGTTTTGTTTTGTTAAAAAAAAAAAAAGGAGGAAAGAAGTAGCATCCTTACCAAATTATCCAGTTCAGGATTGGAAGAAAATAAAGGTTTTTCTGTCCTAACCTAAAAAAAAGAGACATTGGGGAGGCGGGAGCAGGGCCGGGAGAAAGAGAAGAAAAGAGAAGGAGCGTTAGTAAGGGGGAAACACAACAGAGGGAAATCTAAGCCGTGCATTGTTGGAAAGAAAGAAAGAAAAAAAAACCCCTCTAAAATAAAATCTGTTTCTTTCATTTCCTAGGGGGGGGAAAAAAACAGCAACCCCAAAGCAAACAGCAAAGGAAGTGACTTTTCCCCTCTTGCAAAATTCTAGCTGGCAAAAAAAATCTGTGCATTTTACTTTCCGAAGTTGTCTCTTCCTCCTCTGCCTTTGCTAAAATTCCTTCAAGCTCTCGCACACAGAGAGAGAGAGAGAGACAATCCCTGTTCAAAAAACACAAGGTCAGTTTTCTCTCCATCGGATAAAAAAATCCTTGCGGTTGGGGAGGTGGGGGAATCTTACACAATTCCAAGGACTCTTGGATGCTTCGGAGGAAGGGAGGGTATCAAACTCCCCTCCCAAAAATTTCGGATGTGGCTACTTTAATAAAGAGATCCCAACAAGGTTTGGCAGATCTAAGAATGAGAAACCCCTGTTAGGAAATTGTTATTACCCAAAAAGCATCTCTTGTCCAGTTTTTCTTAACTTGGGCAACTTTAAGATGGGTGGACTTCAACTCCCAGAATTCCCCAGCCAGCCAACCAGGCTGGCTGGAGAATTCTGAAAGTTCATCCATCTTTAAAGTTGTCCGAACTGAGAAACACTCATCTACAGTAATGGCCAAAATTATGGAAACCTTTTTGAGAAAAGTGTATTTTCTAAAACTAGCTAATAACACCACTTTTTTTTTTTTTTTTTTTGGAGTAGTAGTACCATCAAATTATGTCAATGGAATTATGGTATACATTGATACATTCCATTGTATCAATGGAAAGATAATTTAATCAAGAATGTCATGCAATAACTTTTATTTATTTATTTATTTATTTATTTATTTATTTATTTATTTATTTATTTATTTATTTATTTATTTATTTATTTATTTAGTCCAATTTATATGCCACCTTTCTCCGGAGACTCAGGGCGGCTGAGTCTTTATGAAGGATTTGCTATTAGAATAACAATTACGGTATAAAGAAGAAAAGTGAAACACGTAGAAAAAACGAGATATACAAAAATGATCCCCATGTCAGTTAATCCTTCGTTAGGTAACCTTTAGCATGAATTATGGCCTTACAAAGTCTTCCCATGGAGTGAGCCAAGTCTTTTAGTTCTGCAGCTGTTATCATGTGAAACCAAGATTGAATGATGGCTTCTATTAACTGGGTTTTATTGCTGGGTCGCTTCTGACTAACAAATTTCTTTAGTTGGCTCCATAGATTTTCAATTAGGTTAAGAAGGTCTGAGTATTCCCAGGCCATTCCAGCAGTGGAATAGGACTATCTTGAAATTCCAAGAAAAAAAGTGGTGTTATTAGCCATCAAACCTCAAAAATACACTTTTCCCAAAAGGTTTCCACAATTTGGGCCACTACTGTATAATATGGGTCTCCAAGCTTTCTGGCTTTGTGAACCGACAGGGGTGGGGGGTGGGGAGAGGGGATGGCTCTATGCGCGTAGTGGATGAGCACATACATACTTGTAGCTCCATTTGCACAAGATGCGGGCAGGTGCGCCCCCGTCACTCCTGCAAATGGCGCCGTGTGCCTTCTCACCTGTCGCTTCCGTGGCCCAGTTCTGAATGGGCCACGGCTCCTATCGTGGGCTGCAGCCTGTGGATCTATAAGGTCTATTTCTAATTTTTTAAAAAAGAGCACTGCAGGAGGCCGAGAGGCTAAATCTCCGTCTTTGAATTCGCTCCTTCTTTTAAGAGAGAAAAAAAAAAAACCCCACATCCCGGTCAATTAAAAGAAACTCACATTCTCATTCTCTCTCAAGTTTGTAAAACAAGAGCTTCAAATCCTCTGTTTTCGTTCTTAAAGGACTTGGGAGAATTGAAAAGCAAAGAGCGTTTAAGTCTTTCCTTTTTTCCTTCTTTTTTCTTTTTTCCTCCAAGCCGGGATGCTGCGTGCTTCCATCCCTCACTTTTTATTGTGTGTGTGTAGAGCATTTTTAAAGCATCTTGCAGCCCAACTTTTTCAACCTAGGTTTAAAATCCTTGCAGGCGTGGAGTTTGAAGCCTTGAAAATCCAGGGATGGAAAGGAAAGGATTTTGCTATTTTTTCCTGCTTTTTAGAAAACTCTCCATCCTCTTTCCCTCCCCCCCAAAAACCCCCGTTTTCCAACCAAAGAACATAAGGGTAATATTATCATTATTCCATCTTCTAACGTACGAATGCCCTTTTGCCTTGTTCCAGGCACGGAAACTGGGTTTTTTTCCCCCCTAAATCAAAACTCGGCCTGGGCAAGCGAGGGAGAATTCGGCTTTGAAACATTGATGGATGGATCAGTGTTAGCAAGCCGATGAATCATCCTAAATGTGGATTTTTAATCAAAAAACGTCTCAAATCAACGACTGCCTTCACTGTTTCACTCGAAGCTCAGGAAAGGGGTGGGGGGTAGAATTTCATGCTTTTTGGCCTGAATATCAAGCCGAGAGAGAGAGAGAAGGGGAAGCTGTATGGAAGTATTGGTACGGTTATTTTCTTCCTTTTTATGGAAGACCTCAAGGTCAAATCACGTATCATTTGGGTTTGAAGGATGGTTTTTCTGCTAGAAATAACACAGGGGGCTTCTGGACGGGAGTGAGCCGAGAAAATGCATAAAATTCTATATTCTCACATCCATTTTCTCTCTTCCCCCAAACTGCATCTATCACTCCTTCTTAGCCAGAGCTGAGATTCCTTCTGTCTATCGCTGCCTTGATTTCCCTTTTCTGCAGAAAGGAAAGGCACTCTGGACATGCTCAAGAACGCCTCGCCTTTGGCAGTGGTGAAATCCAATTTTTTTTTACTACCGGTTCTGTGGGCATGGCTTGGTAGGCGTGGTATGGCTTGGTGGGCATGGGAGGGGAAGGATACTGCAAAATCCCCATTCCCTCGCCACTCCTGGGGGAAGGATGTTACAAAATCTCCATTCCCAGCCCACTCTGGGGCCAGCCAGAAGTGGCCTTTGCCGGTTCTCCTAACTACTCAAAATTTCCACTACCGGTTCCCTAGAACCTGTCAGAATCTGCTGGATTTCACCCCTGATCTTTGGGCATGTAACTTATTTAACTCCTACTTAGTCAGTGCAGAGTTCATCTCTCTACAGCTGCACCGATTTCCCCTTTTCTGCAGAAAGGAAAGGCACTCTGGACATGCTCAAGAATGCCTCATCTTTGGGCAAGTAATTTATTTAATTCCTACTTAGTCAGTGCAGAGTTCATCTCTCTACAGCTGCACCGATTTTCCCTTTTCTGAACACTCTGGACATGCTCAGGAACGCCTTGTCTTTTAGCAACTTTGACCCGTTCAAAGTTACACTGAAAAAAAGGGACAACAGTTTTTCACACTTAACGACCGTCGCAGCATCCCTGCGGTCACGTGATCAAAATTCGGACCCTTGGCAACGGACTCATATTTATGACGGTCCCGGGGTCATGGGATTAAATTGGGTGACCTTCTGATCAGCAAAATCAATGGGAAAGCCAGATTCACTTAATAACGGCGACAAGCAAGCTCGTAAAATGAGGGGGGGGGAGAAACCTCGCTTAACAAATGTCTCACTTAGTGACAGAAATTTTGCACTGAGAGCTGGTCGTAAATCGAAGACTACCCATATTGGGTATTTTCATGCACTAAATGAAGGTTGGTTGCTAACTTGCATTATTTGCCTGAAGCCCATCCCAATCTCCCACCAAGGAAACCGACAAATTTATGCCCACAGCAATGGCCACTGTCATAATTTTTATGATCGGAATCAAGATGGGAAAGAAAAATGTTGAATGGTTTCAGCCAAATGAGGCTGAATCCACATATTGGAATGAGAGATGTGAGGAGGGGACCACTGTCCCTGCCTCTCCCTGGGGTTGGGGGCACTCTATCCCTGCCTTTTTATGGTACTGGTGTTGGGGGCACTCTATGATCCCTGCCTCGTGGAGGGATTAGCTTTCTATAGCTTTTTGCTGCCAATGTTTGACACTGTTCGACAAATGGAGTGTCCATATTTTGAAAGGTTAATATTTGGTTAATGAGGACATTCTAATAATTGCTGTTTTAAGGACATGGTTGGTAATAACAATACCTGTTATTACTCTTTCTCTGTATTTATCTGTCCTATCTATCTATCTATCTATCTATCTATCTATCTATCTATCTATCTATCATCTATCTATCTCTATCTATCTATCTATCTATCTATCTCTTTCATCTATCTTTCTATCATCTATCTCTATCTATCTATTTATCTATGTCTATCTATATCTATCATCTATCATCTATCTCTCATCTCTCTTTCATCTATCTATCTTTCTGTCTATTTATCTATCTATATCTATCTATCTATCATCTATTTATCTATCTCTATCTATCTCTTTCTATCATCTGTCATCTATCTATCTATTTATCTATCTATATCATCTCTCATCTATCTCATCTCTCATCTATCTATCTTTCTGTCTATCATCTATCTATCTATTTATCTATCTATATATCTATATATATAGATAGAATGAAGGCTATTGCTGTAGTGCATTGTAAGCTGCCCTGAGTCTTCGGAGAAGGGCGGCATATAAATTGAACCAATAAATAAATAAATCTATCTATCTATCTATCTATCTATCTATCTATCTATCTATCTATCATCTATCATCTATCTATTTATCTATCTACATCTATCTATCTTTATCATCTATCTATTTATCTATATATATCTCATCTATCTATCATTTATCATCTATCTCTTTCATCTATCTTTCATCTATCTATCATCTATCTATTTATCTATCTATATCTATCTATCATCTATCTTTCTTTCATCTCTTTCATCTATCTATCTTTCTGTCTATCTATCTATTTATCTATCTATATCTATATCTATCTATCTATTATCTATCATCGCACTTGAATTCCTTATCTTCTGAAATACATTACAGCTCACCACTTCTTTGAACCACAGATCTTTATCCAAGATTTTTTAAAAAGTGTCTTTCAGATTTTATTCCAAGACTTTAATTTAATGCAGCCTTATAAGGAGTCCATCACGTGGTCACCTGTCATGAGTTTAGAACTGCTTCCAAGGAGACCTAATGAAGAGAAAAAGCCAAGTGGGCCTCAAATAATGTACAGCTTGCCAGTGGGCTAAGAAACCGTCTTCTGGGCTATTAAAGTAGAAAATATATTTATCGGTATATTTTATTATTTTTTTCTACTGACAAGAGCCACTCATGTCTCAGTGATGCCATCCTTTCTACAGAAACCAACCTGTTTGGCGAAGACAGCGATGTCTTCATTGAAGGAATCCGATGAGCAGACATCTCCTCCGGGGTAAGAACCAGACGTGTCTCTTGGAGAACAGGTGGCCAGTTCACATTTCTCAAAGACCAGGGCCAGCAGAGGGAACAAAGGGTGTCTAAAAAGGAGAAGAAGAAGAAGAAGAAGCAGTAGTGTTGGGCAAACCAGTTGCATGGAGGTTCCAGCGAAGGCCAGCTGGAAGAATTCAAACCTTGTTTCATCCTAACATTTGGTGGGAAGGAACTCAAACCTTTACCCACAGAAGAGAATATTTGTAGCTCAGGGTTGAACTGTGGGGGCCTTCTGAGTTTGGCAGTTTTCTTGCAGACATTTCGTGACCCTACTTGGGAACATCATCAATGCCAGTAGGGAGTGGAGTTGGAGTTGGAGTTGGAAGAGGAGGAGGAGGAGGAGGAGGAGGAGGAGGAGGAGGAGGAGGAGGAGGAGGAGGAGGAGGAGGAGGAATTATGTGGGATTCGTGGTTTTTCTCTGAACTTGGTTGTTTTCTTGACCCAACCAATAACATCATCCGTGCTAGGAGGGAGTGAGGTTTGATAAACTGAAAGGAAATGCTACTTCCTTCTAGCACTGATGATGTTCCCTAGTTCGGTCACAAAACATCTGCAAGGAAATCATCAGGCTCAGAGAGCACCAAGGACCTCCACAAACAAATACTGAATTTTTCAAGACTTATTCAAGAGAAGGGAACCTATTTTTCAATCCACGAAACAGGAGGACGCCAAGCCCCGACCTTTGCCTTCTCCACAGGCCTCCTACGGCTGCCTTTGAAAGAAAGCCCCAGGAATTCAGTAAGAGGTCAAAAGCCCCCTCGGCCTGCTTCTCTTAAAAAACTCTTCCACCCCCCCACCCCCATTTCAAAAGAGCCTTCTTCAGGAATAAACTGGACGCTATAGGCGGGCTTTCTAAATGTAGTAGAAGATTTGCAGAAAGTCAGAGGAACAAAAGACGTTTTTTAAAAAATCACAAAATATTTCTCCCAGCTCCATCTCTTCTCCACGCATCCTTGGTCCTCCCACCAACAGCTGAAAACTCCAAGAATAGAATAGAATAGAATAGAATAGAATAGAATAGAATAGAATAGAATAGAATAGAATAGAATAGAATAGAATAGAATAGAATAGAATAGGAAGGGACCTTGGAGGTCTTCTAGTCCAACCCCCTACTTAGGCAGGAGGAAATCCTACACCACTTCAGACAAATGGTTGTCCAATCTCTTCTTAAAAACTTCCAGTGTTGGAGCATTCACAACTTCTAAAAGGCAAGTTGTTCCACTGATTCATTGTTCTCACTGTCAGGAAATTCCTCCTTAGTTCTAATTGCTTCTCTCCTTGATTAGTTTCCACCCATGCTTTTGTATGGATAGATAGATAGATAGATAGATAGATAGATAGATAGATAGATACAGTGGTGGGATTCAGCCAGTTTGCACCACTTCGGGAGAACCGGTTGTTAACTTGCTGAGCAGTTTGGCAAACTGATTGTTGAAAGAAACTATTAGGGCAGAGAACCGGTTGTTAAATTACTCAAATCCCACCACTGGATAGATAGATGATAGATAGATAGATAGATAGATAGATAGATAGATAGATAGATAGATACACACACACACCAAATTTATATTGGCTCATAAAGAAATAAATATAAATTTGGTAGAAAGTGGTTTGTCGTGAATACGACTACTTGAGGGCTCCTGGATTGGAGCTGAAAGGCAAAAGGGAAGCAGTAGGCTCCATCCTATATTGGGGTAGACCAGGTATTTCTACAGAAAGATACTTTTTATATATACTGCTTAAAAAAAATAAAGGGAACACAAGCAGAAGACATCCGAGATCTGAATGAATGAAACAGCCTTATTAAATACTTTGTTCTTTATATACAGTAGTTTATACACTGCTCAAACAACTAAAGGGAACACAAAACTACTGTAGGTAACGAACAAAGTATTTAATAAGGCTATTTCATTCATTCAGATCTCGGATGTCTTCTGCTTGTGTTCCCTTTATTTTTTTGAGCAGTGTATATATCTCACCACGTGCGATACGATGCAACCAGTGCCTCCATCAAAAGTACCAATGTACTTTTTGTACCTTGTTTGTCCATCATTGTGCAGCCTCATTGCTGAACTCCCACCCACACATCAGAGCAAGTCTTCCTGCTCCCAGAAAAGAAAAATATGGGGGTGGGGACCAAATCATGGGATCATAGAATCCTCAGGCTGAACAGATCTTGGAGGTCTTCTAGTCCAGCCCGGTTGCCCAAAACAGACAACGTTATTGGACAAAGGGTTGTCCAATCTTTTCTTGAAAAACCGCCAGCAATGGAAGCGCTCACGACTCCAGGAGGATTAAGCTGTTCCATTGCTTAATCATTCTCACCGTCAGGAAATTCCTCCTTAATGTTTTTTAAAAAATTTATTTATTTATTTATTTATTTATTTATTTATTTATTTATTTATTTATTTATTAGTTCGATTTATATGCCGCCCTTCTCCGGAGACTCAGGGCGGCTTACAATGCGTTAAGCGATAGCCTTCATCCTTTTGTATATACCTGCTTAGTAGGGCTTTCAGGGCCCCCCCCCAAGCGGTGTTCTTTTTTTATACAAAGTCAGCTTATTGCCCCCACAATCCGGGTCCTCATTTTACCTCCCTCGGAAGGATGGAAGGCTGAGTCAACCTTGAGCCAGGTGAGATTTGAACTTGCAGTAATATCGGGCAGCTGGCAACTAAGTGCTATTTTAACAGCACTTAGTCCACTGCACCACCAGGCTCTTTCTAAAACTTTTTAGAAAACTTATTTTAGCCTTTCTCAGGCTTAGTAAACTGTTTTTTTTAAAAGTCACCATCCTTCCATTTCTCTCCACATCGGGAAAAGTAGAGGAAAGGATCTGTAACTTTCCAAGAAAAGAATGAATGCTGAATGATTATTTTTTTTCCAGGAAAAGATTCAAAGTCTGCTTGCACCGTAAGAAACTTTTGTGTGTCTGTGTGTCTAAGGGTTAAAGTTATTTTAAAGACTGTGCTTGCCAGTGGGGTGCACTTCGGCTTTATCCTTGCTCTGATTTATGTGGTGGTGGGGGACCACTCCTCCATTCCTCCCCCCTCTTTTTTTCCAGCTGAATTTGGATGGACAGCTAAAGGGAGAGACAGCGTGTTCCCAACGATACAAGTTCATGCACCACATGTTACACAAATATTTGCAGCAGAGGCCCGGCACGGAGTAACTGTTAAGTGTTGAGTGGCTCTATATAGAACATTTTTTATTTCGTAGGAGAAACAAAACAAGGATGTGTGTGTGTTTCTGTGTGTTTTTTAATCTTGCAACAATCCATGTTCCCTTCCTCTCCGATTTACGGAGAGGAAAATGGCAGATGAAAAGCGCTGCTTGCTACGACAGATACAAGTTGAAAGACGGGAAGAAATCTATCAATCTTCTTTAGGGTCTTTCAGTTTGAGGAGCCAACTTGAAAACGGTTTTGAAACTGTTTGAAGCTGACAAGAGAAAGAAAACTTTTGAAGGAATCAACTTGTCTCTTTGCTGTTTTCTAGACGCCTTTAAGGATTGGCAATCTTTGGTGCCCCGCAGGAATTGGGTATGTCTAGTCTAGTGAAAGGGGGACGTGGTGGCTCAGTGGCTAAGACGCCGAGCTTGTCGATCGAAAGGTCGGCAGTTCAGAGGTTCGAATCCCTCGTGCTGCCGCGTAACGGGGTGAGCTCCCGTGACTCGTCCCAGCTTCTGCCAACCTAGCAGTTCGAAAGCAGGTCAAAAATGCAAGTAGGAAAATAGGGACCACCTTTGGTGGGAAGGGAACAGTGCTCTGTGCACCTCTGGCATTGAGTCATGCTGGCCACATGACCACGGAGATGTCTTCGGACAGTGCTGGCTCTTGAGCTTAGAAATGGAGATAAGAGCCTTGATAGTACAGGGGTTTAAGGCACCCTGTTATTAAGCTTATTAAGACCAGCTGCCTGCAATTACTGCAGGGTTCGAATCTCGCCAAGGCTCAAGGTTGACTCAGCCTTCCATCCTTTCTAAGGTAGGTGAAATGAGGACCCAGTTTGTGGGGGCAATAAGCTGACTTTGTATAAATATACAAAAGGATGAAGGCTATTGCTGAGCACATTGTAAGCCGCCCTGAGTCTTCGGAGAAGGGCGGCATATAAATCAAATTAAAAAAAAAAAGAAAGAAAGAAAAGATGAGCACCGCCCCCTACAGTCGGGAACGACTAGCACATATGTGCGAGAGGAACCTTTACCTTTTACCTTTACCTAGTCTAGTGAAAAGAAGGATTTAGGGTGACGTGATAGCAGTCTTTCAATATTTGAGGGGCTGCCAGAAAGAAGAGGGAGTCAACCAAGATATTCTCCAAAGCACCTGAAGGCAGGACCAGAAGCAATGGGTGGTTCCATTGATTAAAGAGAGAAGCAACCTGGAATTAAGGAGGAATTTCCCGACAGAACAATTAATCAGTGGAACGACTTGCCACCAGAAGTTGTGGGTGCTCCAATACTGGAGACACCAAACATGTTTTTTCAAAAGGCAACTGGATTTTGTTTGTCCAACTGTCCCCACTTTGGAGACAACCATGACCTGAATTACTGAGAATCTCCATAGATGTTCAGCACTGGAGGTTTTTAAGAAGAGATTGGACAGCCATTTGTCTGAAATGATAGGAGGGTTTCCTGCCTGGGCAGGGGGTTGGACTAGAAGACCTCCAAGGTCCCTTCCAACTCTGTTATTGTGTTGTATTGTATTTCCATTTCCATTTCCATTTCCATTTCATTCCATTCCACTCTATTCTATTCTAAATTCTTCATTCCTTCTGTTCTGTTCTATTCTGTTCTATTCTATTCTATTCTTTCTATATTTTCTATATTCTATTCTATTCTCTATTCTCTATTCTCTATTCTCTATTCTCTATTTTCTATTCTATTCTATTCTATTCTATTCTATTCTATTCTATTCTATTCTATTCTTTCTATATTTTCTATATTCTATTCTATTCTCTATTCTCTATTCTCTATTCTATTCTATTCTATTCTATTCTATTCTATTCTATTCTATTCTATTCTATTCTATTCCATTCCATTCCATTCCATTCCATTCCATTCTGTTCTTTCAGTATTGCCAAAGGATCTACCAAAGGCTGCACTTGGCAAAAGCTGTGAAAGACAGCAGTGATTATACCAACCGAGGCGTGGAGCCTCCAGGTCCAGTAGCAGAATATCTGGGAAATTTCCCAGCTTCTCTTTGTGGGCTTGCAACCTTGCCTGGCCAGAATGAAAACACCCAATTGGATGGATTCAGGCACCCCATTTAAGTGATTTTTTATGCTTCATTCTCTGTGCCACAAAATGATAAACTCTTTAAGGGTTTCCTCATTGGGCTTCTGCTTTAAATAGTATCCAAGGGTGATAAACTGGATTCTTTTACTCATATATTCAATAAAAATATATCCGACTCCTTGGCGGTATGACCTTGGAGAAGCTTAGATTCAGATCCATTCTTTGGCTGCCAAAAGTCTGCAGGCACGCACGCACGCACAAACACACACACAAACACACACACAAACACACACACAAACACACAAACACATACACACACAAACACATACACACACAAACACACACACAAACACACACACACACACAAACACACACAGAAACACACACAGAAACACACACACACAAAAACACACACACACAAACACACAAACACACACACACACACACAAGGGCTTCACTCCTGCCACCGTGATTTAACATTTCCAAATTCACTCTCTCCCCCCCTTGAAAGTTTCCACCTCAAACAATACAGGAAGAATCAAATTGTTGTTTGTGGAACCATCTAAATGCAAAACTCGGAATGATAAATCACATTAATTAAATGAAGGGGGGAGGGGGAGAGTAACCCCTCGGCTGAGCAGGGAGCGAGTAGTTTATCATTCCCCACCCCCCACCCCCCTTACTTCTTTCTTAGAAATCCCTACCAATTGTGGCGGATGGATTAGTTAGGAGCATCCACCCGATTTCGTTTCCCTATGAAGCAACCCGGTCTGTCTGTCGCATGGGAGGTTCAGAAGAAGGAGTGGGGGGGAGGGGAAACAGCTCTCTCCTGATCCTGTGGTCTGAGGTAGACTGCCCCTGAAATGGGAAGCTCCATCAAGCCCTTATTGTGCCACCATCTCAATTTGTTGCCCCAAAGTTGCTTATCCTCCTGTATATGCTGCTAAACTAAAGGCTGTATTTATCTATTGTCTGCCTGCCTGTCTGTCTGTCTCTGTATGTGTGTGTGTCTATCATCCATCCATCCATCTATCCATCCATCCATCTATCTATCTATCTATCTATCTATCTATCTATCTATCTATCTACTCTCTCTCTGTCTCTCTCTGTCTCTTATTTATCTCTGCCTGCCTGCCTGCCTGCCTGATTCTCTCTCTCTATCATCTATCTCTCTATCTATCTCTCTATCTATCTCTCTATCTATCTCTCTATCTCTCTATCTATCTATCTATCTATCTATCTATCTATCTATCTACTGTTATCTACTATCTACTGTCTCTCTCTATATATATCTTATCTATCTATTTCTATTATCTATCTATCTTTGTATCTCTGTATTCTGTATTTATCTATCTACTCACTCTCTTTCTCTACTGTTATCTATCTATCTACTCTCTCTCTCTGTCTATCTATCTATCTATCTATCTATCTATCTATTCCATCTCTCTCTCTCTCTATCATATCTATCATCTATCTATCTATCATCTATCTATCTATCTATCATCTATCTATCTATCTATCTATCTATCTATCTATCTATCTATCTACCTATCTACTGTTATCTACTACCTACTGTCTCGCTCTCGCTCTCTCTATATATATATCTTATCTATTTCTATTATCTATCTGTCTATCTCTGTATCTCTCTGTATCTATCTATCTATCTATCTATCTATCTATCTATCTATCTATCTACCTACCTACTCTCTCTTTCTCTCTCTTTCTCTACTGTTATCTACCTATCTACTCTATCTATCTATCTATCTATCTATCTATCTATCTATCTATCTGTTAAATTTATTTGCCACACACCTCAGTTTGAAGCAACTCCGGGTGGAAAATAAAGATTGCGTTAAGATCCTTCTGAAACGTTACTCCAGTTGTACAGATCGGAACCTTGGAAGGATTTGGCCCCAGAGGCAGCTATGCTGGCTGGGGCATTCTGGGAGTTGAAGTCCACCCAACTTCAAGCTGCCAAGGTTGAGAAAACACTGCTTCTAAATGATCAATTAATGGGAGGGGCTGTGTTTCCCCCCCCTAAGAATAAAACTGACCCAGCTCTCACCATGCCCTGAGAACGCATCCATCCCAAGTGAAGGGTGTCAAGAGAAGGAAATATCACAGGCCTTCACTAGAAAAGGTACTCATACTTGATTCCTCACCCCCATCCTGGGGAGATTTACAGGATCCACCCGCCCAAGGCAAGCAGGCAATTTTAAGAAGGGGATCGGCAAAAAAGATATCCAGGAGAAAGAAGAGAGAAAGAGAGAGAGAAAATCAATTTCTGAGCAGTGGATAAAACTCCCTTCCTACGAAGGGATGCCCTGCACCGAGTTCAGCAAAGATTTAGGGAAGGGGATTCTTGGATCTTCCTGGATCCCAAAAGAAGTCAGATCCCCCACTAGGAAAATTTCTTAGCAACAAAGTGAGAGAGGTTTTTTCCAAGAGATTTCCCAGCTTCACTTAGAAGGATCTTTAATTAAGCGACCTAAGGTAGAAGAATCTCCCAAAAGTTAAGGCTAAAAAAAAAAAGATCCCAGGGGAAGGGAGATCCAGTAGGCAGGGGATCCCCCAACCGAAAGGTTCGAAAGGTGAGGTCGGGGAGAGCAATTCGGCCCAGCTAAAGAAAAAAAAAAACCAAGGATCTGGCCGTTTGGGAAGAAGAGCTAAAAAAAAACCAGGAGCGGATCTGCTGTTTTTCCGACGGCAGATCGACGGAAGGGTGGTGGGATCGAGTCGCTTAAGGCAAAACGCGAGCCACCCTCGTTCCTGAGCAAATAAGGGTGGGGGGGAGGGCGGGGGGGCAGATCTCTTTTGGAGAGAGAGAGAGAGTGTGTAGACCAAGGAAGGAAACCCGCAATTCGATCTACCGGAAGAGTAATCCAGCGGTCCAGGCGAATCGATCCTGTCCTTGGACTTCATCTGGGCAAACCAAAACGTTTGGTCTTTCTTTACTCTTTTACACCAGACACGAAGGGTTTTTTTTTAGGGGAGGGGATTTTTCATAAAGACCCCCCCTCCCGCTCTCAAGTCCTGGGCGCCTTCCACTCCCTGGACACGCGTGTTAAACCCGTTTCGCGCCGGGGAAGAGGGGTTCCGACGTGCGGCGCGAGTTAGCAGATCCTCACCCTCGGTTCTTTTCGGGAGGGGGAGAAGGGGAAGCGAAGGTCTGGTCCGGACGGCCCAAAAAGGGGGAGGGAAGGAAAAAGAGCCTTGGTAGTACAGTGGTCTAAAGCACCCTGTTATTAAGACCAGCTGCCTGCAATTACCGCAGGTTCGAATCTCGCCAAGGCTCAAGGTTGACTCAGCCTTCCATCCTTTCTAAGGTAGGTAAATTGAGGACCCAGTTTGTGGGGGCAATAAACTGACATTGTATAAATATACAAAAGGATGAAGGCTATTGCTTAGCGCATTGTAAGCCGCCCTGAGTCTCCGGAGAAGGGCGGCATATAAATCAAATTAAAAAAAAAAAAAGACCCCCTTCGCGCGGCCAAGAGCGCAGGCGACGACCCCCCCCCCCCCCCCCCCCGCCGCCGCCAGCAAAACTCACCCGTAAATCTCGTCCTTCTCTCGCTTCAAGGCGTCGTTGGTGCCCAGTCCCGGAGGCATCCCCGGCCGGTGGTTAACTCCCGCCGATCCATAAGGGCCGCCCTGGTTCAAAGCGTGATGTTGCAGACCCCGGCCCGAATGGGGGTCTCCGAAGGCCGGCAGAGAGACCCCTCCGTCCATTCCGGCGTAATGTACCAAGTCATCGTACTGGGTGGCAGACGCAGATCCGGAGGTGGGTGGGGGAGGAGGAGAGGAGAAGAAGAGCGAGAAAGAAAGAAAAGAAGAAGAAGAAGAAAAAAGAAAGTTTCAAGACGCCCGATTTAAGCAACCCTTTTCTTCCCCCCCCCCCCACCCCCAGCCCTATACAGCTAGGAAATGCTGGCCCAGATCCAGGCTGACCTACTAGGATATTTTCGCTCGACAAGAAACCGGGGACGCCTTTCAAAGCAGGCATCTCCGAGGAGTTGTTGTTGTTCCCAAGATGTGGGGAGGGGGGGTGAATTATTTGGGGAGGGGTCAGAAGGGGACAGGCGAGACAAGGGGGCCAAACCAGTCCTTGTTTCTCAAAGGTGCTTTTTTTCCCAAATGCAACTGGGGTGTGTTTTTGTTTTGTTTTTTCCCCTTGAGGAAGAAGAAGAGGTTTCGCTTCTCATCCAAGAGGCTTCATCACGAGTAGCGAAACGTTTCTCAAAGAATCTATCTATATATAGATAGATTCCTTGAGTGAATGTCTATGGAGATTTCCTGCTCAATGTTGGTTGCCTCAAAGGTGCTTTTTCCAAAGGCCCAGTGGATATAGATATTTGTGTGTGTGTGTGTGTGTGTAGGCGCGCACACACAAACACACACACATAGATATATATCCCAGTGGCCTTTGGAAAAAACACCTTTGAGGCAACCAACAATGAGCAGGATGGCTGAGAATATCCATAGACATTCAGTCCTTGTTGCACACTGATACACACACACACACACACACACACACACACACGCCAAAAACTCGGCCCCTTTTCCACTGAACCCGGCCTTGTGTCCTTCCTCTCCCACCCACCCACCCCCGTCCTAAATACCCCTTCCAACGCAGTGGGTCCTTCTCATGGCTCGGTGCGAGTTGTGTTTGCGTTGTGTGCGGGTTTAAGCGGCTCACTCTTTCAAGAACAAAACCCACACACCACACAAATCCCCACAACGTTCCCTCCCCCCGCCCCCGGTTTCTGATCAGGGTTGTCTACTTTTTTTTTGCGGCTTTCGCCACTTAAGTCAATTTCACGCGGCGGCTGGTCAATTTCACGACGGGGGTTGGGGGGGAAAGGGCTGTGGTTGAGTGTAAGCCCCCCTTCAGGCCCCTCTCGCCACCCCACCCCACCCAGCGGAGCCCGGGCCTCGCGCCTTCGATTTGGGGATCGAAGCAAGGACTCCCCAAAAGACCCACGCAAACACAAATGCATGGAGAGAAAGAGAGATGCTTTTCAAAGAAAGAAAGAAAGAAAGAAAGAAAGAAAGAAAGAAAGAAAGAAAGAAAGAAAGAAAGAAAGAAAGAAAGAAAGAATTCTTTTTCTTTCTTTCTTTCTTTCTTTCTTTCTTTCTTTCTTTCTTTCTTTTTCTTTCTTTCTTTCTCTTTCTTTCTTTCTCTTTCTTTCTTTCTTTCTCTCTTTTCTTTTTCTTTTTCTTTTTCTCTTTTTCTTTTTCTCTTTCTTTCATCGGTCTCTATTTCACTCCCTTTCTTCCTTCCTCTCTCTCTCTCTTTTTCTTTCTTTCTTTTTGTCTGTCTATTTCATTCATTTTCTCTCTATCTCTTCTTGCTTGCTTGCTTTCTCTTTCTCACTTTCTTTCCCTTCCTTCCTTCCTTCCTTCCTTCCCTTTTTTAAAAAAGTACACTTCTTTTTCCTTGAAAGGAACAGAACTTTTGAGACAGAAATCACATGGGGCAGATGTTCCTCCACTCCCGCTTCAAATCTGATTCTTTGTACATTTATTTATTTATGGGATTTTGTCACAGAAAATGTACGGTCTGTATTTCCGCCTCTGCAACTGGACATTGAAAAAGAAGGATAAAAACCAAACTTGGTTTTTTTTATGTTCAATCAACTTTTCCCAATTTTTTCCCCAGCCTGTCCTGGTCCACTTTTTTGCTAGTTGCTATCCCCAAATGAAGTCAACATGCACTTATTTTGTTCCTTCCTTCCTTCCTTCCTTCCTTCCTTCCTTCCTTCCTTCCTTCCTAGCTGTCTCCCACTTTCTCCCACTCTCTCTCTCTCTCTTTTTCTTTCTTTCTTTCTTTCTTTCTTTCTTTCTTTCTTTCTTTTTCTTTCTTTCTTTCTTTCTTTCTTTCTTTCTTTCTTTCTAGAGGATCACTGTCTTTATAAATGAGTTTAAATCCTGCACTGCACTTTAAACTTTACAATTATTATTTTTTTTAAAAAAAAAAAGCAAAACGGAGCAAAACTTCCCCTCCTTTGGTGGGGGTGGGTAGAAGTGCGGATTTTTTCCAGCCTGCCAAGCAGCTATTCTTATTTAAATCATCTCTTGCAGCTCAGCTAAGAGCCAAGAGGAGCCGATCCGTTTAACCTTTCCCTCCCTCTCTTTTCTTCTCTTTCACTCAGTCCTGCAAAGACTCCACTGACTTTTCAGAATACACTTAAAAAAAATAAAATACTCCGAGGGGAAGCGTTTTTGAAGCCTGAATACATATACATACATATACATACACACACAGGCGAACGCACATTATATTATGTTCACAAAAAGACATTAAGGGAAAAATCATAGTTCAGATCTTGCTTTGGAAAGTATTTTGGGATTAATAAATTGTAACTGGCTTGGATGTTTCCCTTCCCTGCTTTCCTTTTTTTTAAAAACAGAAATTGATTTCTAGATCTTGGAAAGTTAGACCGAAAGGAACTGAATATAATAATAAATACTGTTACAGATTGTTTTGGAGAGAGAAGGAAAGAAAGAGAGTGGGGGGAGGAAGGAAGGAAGGAAGGAAGGGAGAGAGAGAAAGCAAAAGAAAGAAAGAAAAAGGAAGGAAAGAAGGAAAGAAGGGAGGAAGGAAGATGTAGGAGAAATAGAAGAAAGAAAGAGGTAGGAGAAAGAAAGAAAGAAAGAAAGAAAGAAAGAAAGAAAGAAAGAAAGAAAGAAATAGAAAGAAATAGAAAGAGGTAGGAGAAAGAAGGAAGGAAGGAAGGAAGGAAGGAAGGAAGGAAGGAAAAAAGAAGTAGGAGAAAGAAAAAGGAAGCAAGGTAGCAAGCAAGCAAGAAAGAAAGGAAGAAAGAAAGAAAGAAAGAAAGAAAGAGGAAGAGGTAGGAGAAAGAAAAAGGAAGCAAGCAAGCAAGCAAGCAAGCAAGCAAGCAAGCAAGAAAGAAAGAAAGAAAGAAAGAAAGAAAGAAAGAATATGTAAGCTACATTTTGTTTGAATTAAACCGTAATTCTTGGCAGAAAATGTCAGGTTTTTCTTACCCTCCCTGCTGTCTGGAACTATACCTGCCTCCCCCCCCCCAAATATAACTCTACACATAAAATATTACTGTCAATATAGCTGAGATTCCAGACCCGGGGACATCCCCATACATCCCCCCTCCCCTCTCCCCCAGTTGGAAAGAAAGAGTGGCGGGGGGGGGGGAGAGATTTAGGCTCCCAGGGAAGGAAACTCCTGAATTTCTTACAAGGGCCCAAACTGAAGAGACATTAACCTCCAGCTTTCATGCCGGGCGACTCTTTTATGCTGCTATCCCGGAGGGGGTCAGGGGAGGGGAGAAGGAAAAAAAAAGACTGCAAAAACTTTCCAAAGGCACCCTAAAGTGTCCCCAAAGTCTCCCCGCCCGAAGCTTTCAAATGAGCAGCCGGACTTCAAAAGGCCAAGGCACAGAGACAGTCAAGCCTTCCTCTCCTCCTCCTCCTCCTCCTCCTCCTCCTCCTCCTCCTCCTCCTCCTCCTCCTCCGGCTTTTTCAATTATTCTTCCCCCTTCTGCATTTCTCTTGCTGGTCAGAGTTTGCTATGGAGACGAAGCCCCAGCCCCAGCGGCAGGCAAAGTATTGGTTTTTGGGGAGGGGGTTCTCTTTCTTTCTTTCTCTCTCCCCCCCCACCCCACAACCGCTTTCCCCCCCCCCCCCCCCCGACACTTTTTTTTGGGGGGGGAGAAAGCTCTCGACTCACAAAGTGAAATGCAGAGGAAAGAGAGGTTGGGGTTTGGTGGAGTTTGCTCGAGAAGTGAAAACTGCTGGGTTCATTTGAAAGAGAGAAATGACTTTTTAAAAAATGTCTGTCTGTCTGTCTGTCTCCCTCTATCTATATCTCTGTATTTCTCTGTCTGTGCTTCTCCCTCTCTATATGTCTATAATCTATATCTATATCTATAATCTATATCTAGCTATCTATCATCCACAGTATTTATCTACTATCTATCTATCCTCTATTTACCTATCCTTCTCTCTCTCTCTCTCCCTCCCTCCCTCCCTCCCTATCTATCTATCATCTATCTATCTATCTATCTATCTATCTATCTATCTATCTATCTATTTATCTATCTATCTATCTATCTATCTATCTATCTATTTACCTATCCTTCTCTCTCTCTCTCTCTCTCTCTCTCCCTCCCTCCCTCCCTCCCTCCCTATCTATCTACCTATCTATCTATCTATCTATCCTCTATTTACCTATCCTTCTCTCTCTCTCTCTCTCTCCCTCCCTCCCTCCCTCCCTCTCTCCCTATCTATCTATCTATCTATCTATCTGACTGGTCGTCTGTCTCTACCTGTATCTCTCTCTCCCTCTCTCTCTCTCTCTCTCTCACCATCCATCCATCCTCTATTTATCTACCTATCCTCTCTCTCTATGTATGTATCCATCTATATCTTTCTATCTATCCATATCTATCCATCCATCCATCCATCCTCTCTCTATTTATCTTTTTCTCTCTATCTACATATCCTTTTCTCTGTCTCTCTTTCTTCTATCTATCTATCTATCTATCTATCTATCTATCTATCTATCTATCATCTTCTATCTATCCATCCTCTTTCTCCCTTCCTTTCACCACCACAGTCCCAAATCTGTTCGGAGACTTCCCGGCCCACCAACACGGGTGTCCCAACAAACAAACCAGCAAAAACAATTGATAAAGTAGGAAGTTGCGGCCGGAAAACCACGAGAAAAAACCACGAGCGATTTACGCAAACGGAGTGCCAATCTCAGAGAAAGCCATTTAAACGCGTTCGTTTTTAGTTTTGAAAGATCACATCTAACCTTTCATACACAAACACACACCACTCTCTACCCCTACACACACACACACACACACACACACACACACACACAAAACAACAACTCCAATTCGGAAGATCTAACTTTAAAACGATAGGCCGACCTCTCACACAGAGTCTATTTATCAGATTCTTTTTCTTTTTCTTTTTAAAATATTCCTCCTTTTTTTTTTGTTTTTGGTTATCTTTAACCGTCTGGTGAAAAGACGGGGAGAAGCGGCTGGGAGGGTCCCGACTTACCCTTTGGGCCATGAGACGCTCCCGAGTTTTTTCTCCAGGGTTTCTCTTCCTCCTGGCGTCTCCCCCCGGGAGAAGCGGGGTTCGGGGGGAGCCAGAGAAGGCGTCAGTTCTCTCCCCAACACCGAAGCTTCATCTCGACCCCTTGCTGCAGCCCCATCAAATCCAAGCCGCCGGGACGAAGGAGAGCCAGGAGGAAACTCTTGGCCAAGAAGAGTTTGCTTTGGGATCGAGTCTCTCTTTCTCTCTCTCTCTCTCTCTCCACCCCAGAGAGGAGCGATCTAACGGATCGCTCTACTAAAGAAAACAAAATTAAAAACCCGAAGAAAACCACGCCATCCTTTTTTTCCCCCGAAGTCCTGGGTTTTGGGGTCTTTGTGTGTGTGTGTGTGTTTTTTTTTTTCCTCCCCCTTTAAGTGCGTTTTAAGGAAATCTTGGCAAGGAGGCAAGCGGGGGCTCGGTCAGAGGTTGGCGTGGAAGTGGGGGCCTGGGGGGGGGCGGGCAAAGGGCAGACGAAGACCGAGGGGCCGCCGAGATGGAGCGAGAGATCTCCCCGCTTTCTCCCCAGTAGATCTGGGGCTTCTGCCGTTTGCCGCCGCGGCTGCCCATCCAGGACTGAGAAATGTCAGCCTCCAATGATGGATGAGCCTCGTCCTCGGGGTGGGTTTTGCGCGTGTCTCTGCACACTCACTCACTCACGCGCGCACACGGGCAACCCGGGTGGTAATTGCAAAAGGGGAGGGGGGGAGACAGCAGGGAAAGAAGGGGAGGGAGGGGAGTTCAGGAAAACAGCCCCCCTCTCCAAAAAATCAAAAAAAGAGAGAGAGAGAGCTGTTTTTCCACGCTCGCTTCCTTTCTAATCTTCCCGCCCTTCTCTTCTCGTTCTCGGCTTCAAAAGATGGACCTCAACTCCCAACCAGGCGCCCGCCCTCCCCTCTTTCTCCTCCTCCTCCTCCCCCCCACCCCACCCCCGCCCGGCGCGCCGTTTCTTTCTCCCTTTCCCTTTTTAAACGCGCCTCCGGTCCTATCCGGGCGAGATGCAAAGGCGGAGAAATGGGGAGGGGGCCGCGGGAGTGTTGAGAGAGAGAGAGAGAGAGAGAAAGCTAGAGAAGGTGCCAGAGGAAGGAAGGAAGGAAGGAAGGGAGAAAAGGAAGGAAGGGAGAAAAGGAAGGAAGGAAGGAAGGGGAGAAGGAAGGAAGGAAGGAAGCAGAGAAGGAAGGAAGGAAGCGGAGAAGGAAGGAAGGAAGGGGAGAAAAGGAAGGAAGGAAGAAAGGAAGGGGAGAAGGAAGGAAGGGGGGAAGGAAGGGGAGAAGGAAGGAAGGAAGGAAGGAAGGAAGGAAGGAAGGAAGGAAGGAAGGAAGGAAGGAAGGTGTGGGGTTTAGGGGTGGCTCAGAGATTCCCTAAAGCCCCCTTCCCCTACCCAACCTCTCACCACCGAGGAGAATTCAGCGCTCAGCCGCCCCCTGGAATCGGCGGAGGCCGGGGTGGTAGGGGGGAGAGAGAGAGAGGTGGGCAGAGAAAGAGAGAGAAAGAGAAACCCACACATACATACACACACTAGCCGGGGGGGGGGGGGTTGCCACTTTCCCCCGGCACTCCTCCTCTTAAAGCAGCAGTGGATCTATTTGGGGGTGGGGGGTGTCAAAGAAATAGGAGGAAATGGACGAGCAAGTTGCCCCCCCACCTCCCCCCGACTTGAGAGTTTGGCTTTTTTGGGGGGTGGGTGGGTGGGCTGGGAGGAGGAGGAAGATGTCGGGGAGGATCAAAGGGGCGGCTTGCCTTCCTCTCGCTCCCCCCCCCTGCGACCCCGCCGTTGCCTGCTCTTCTTTTCCCTTCTCCCGACGCCCCCCACCCGCCCCTCCCGCCGCCCCCGCCTGGCTGGAAGTGAGGCGGCCAGCGGAGAAAGATGCGCGGTTTCTCTCCCCGCAGAACCTCCGCGACCAAACCATCCGGAAGTCGAAGGGCCTTTCGCTTTTAACTCGTTCTCTTCCCCGGTTCTCGGCTCCGCCGGGAAGCGGCCCAGACCCAGGGGTGAAATCCAGCAGGTTCTGACGAACCGGTAGCGGAAATTTTGAGCAGTTCGGAGAACCGGCAAATGCCACCTCTGGCTGGCCCCAGGAGTGGGAAGGGAATGGAGATTTTGCAGTATCCTTCCCCCAGGAGTGGGGAGGGAATGGGGATTTTGCAGTATCCTTCCCCTGCCACGCCCAAGCCACGCCCATCAAGCCACACCCACAGAACAGGTAGTAAAAAAAATTGGATTTCACCACTGCCCAGATCCCCCTGGCTGGCTCGGGGCTGCGGGCAGGAGAGAAGGGGCTGCCTCGGACCACCACCACCCCGCCCAGACCCTTCCTCCTCCTCCTCCTCCTCGTCCTCCTCCTCCTCCTCTTCTCCAGGCACCTGTTTGGGATGCGAGATTGGGACCAGCACAGAGATGTCCCTTTCCTGGGTCAGGAAACACCTGCCAGAAAAATCGCCAAGCTCAAGAGAGCAACCTAGGACCCCACCGCCTCCTTCGCCTCCTCTTCTTCCTCTCCTTCTTTTTCTCCTTCGTTCCACAACCCGCATTCCCTCCTAGCGCTGATGATGTTCCCTAGTTGGGTCATGAAACGTTTGCAAGAAAACAGCCAAGCTCAGAGAGCTCCAAGGACCCCGCAGTCCTCCTCCTCTTCCTCCCCATAAACCCCACTCCCTTCTACCAGTAGATGAGGCAAAAACTCATCAAGGAGAGAAGCAACCTGGAATGAAGGAGAAACTTCCTAACAATGAGGACAATTAGCCAGCGGAACAGCTTGCCACTAGAAGTCATGGGTACTTCATCACTGGAGCTTTTTAAGAAGAGCATGGCCAGTCTAGAGAAAATAATAATTAGGGGTGACATGATAGAAGCGTTCCAGTATTTGAGGGGCTGCCACAAAGAAGAGGAGGGGGTCAAATTATTCTCCAAAGCATCAGAGGGCAGGACGAGAAACGATGGATGGAAACTAAACAAAGAGAGAAGCAACCTGGAATTAAGGAGAAACTTCCTAACATTGAGGACAATTAGCCAGCGGAACAGCTTGCCACCAGAAATCCGAGCGCTCCATCACTGGAGGTCTTTAAGAAGAGACTAGACAGCCACTTATCTGAAATGGTATAGGCCAGCGTCTCCCGCTTGAGACGGGGGCTGGACTAGAAGACCTCTAAGGTCCCTTCCAGTTCTATTCTATTCTATTCTATTCTATTCTATTCTATTCTATTCTATTTCTATTTTTTTTTCTCCTCTCCTCTCCTCTTCTCTTTTCTTCTCTCCTCTTCTCCTCTCTTCCACTCTATTCTATTTATGGATTACTCCCCACCAAGAGGTTTGTTTTCTAAGTGGGAAGGAAAAGGCTGCTGGAATTATTGGGACAGGACAGGATTTGCCTGGGGGAAAGACCCGGGTTCAATAAACCAGCTTGATGTGGGAAAACATTACAGGAAGCCAACCATTTGCTGCTTTTAATGAAGTATGAAAACGCAGGCGTTAGTGGGCCATAAGCCATATTGTGTGGCTTAACGGATTGTTAAGAATAGATAGAATAGAATAGAATAGAATAGAATAGAATAGAATAGAATAGAATAAAAATAAAAATAAGACTAGAATAGAATAGAATAAGAATATAAATATGAGTAGAATAGAATAAGAATAAAAACATGAATAGAATAGAATAGAATAAAAATAAGAATAGAATAGAATAAGAATAAAAATAAAAATAAGAATAGAATAGAATATAAATAAATAGAATAGAATAGAATAAGAATAAGAATAGAATAGAATAGAATAAAAATAAGAATAGAATAGAATAGAATAAAAATAAGAATAGAATAGAATAGAATATAAATAAATAGAATAGAATAAAATAAAATAAAAATAAGAATAGAATAGAATAGAATATAAATAAATAGAATAGGAATAAAATAAAAATAAGAATAGAATAGAATAGAATAAAAATAAGAATAGAATAGAATAGAATAAAAATAAGAATAGAATAGAATTAAATAAATAGAATAGAATAAAATAAAAATAAGAATAGAATAGAATAAAATAAAAATAAGAATAGAATAGAATAGAATAAAAATAAGAATAGAATAGAATAACAATAAGAATAAAAATAAGAATAGAATAGAATAGAATACAATAGAATTTTTTATTGGCCGAATGTGATTAGACACACAAGGAATTTGTCTTTGGTGCATACGCTCTCAGTGTACATAAAAGAAAAGATACGTTCGTCAGGAATCATAAGGTACAACGCTTAAGGATAGTCATAGGGAAACAGTCAATATAAATCCTAAGGATACCAGCAACAAAGTTACAGTCCTACAGTCCTAAGTAGGAGGAGATGGGTGGTGAGAACGATGAGAAGATTAATAGTAGTGCAGACTTAGTAAATAGCCTGACAGTGTTGAGGGAATTAGTTGTTTAGCAGAGTGATGGCTACAGTATGTGAATCCCACCTGTGATGTGAACCTGGCCAGGTGTATCTCTTGGGGGGGGCATCATTTCTTGGAAAAACTAAAGCTGAAAGGGACAAATTCCGAAAGAGGTTCATGATTTAAAAAAATATATATATATATTGTTTATAATTTTGCTTTCTCAAGGAAAATTCAAGAGCTGGGCCAAGAGAATGATGAATTCAATTAAAGACCTCTAAAGGACAGCTTTCTGAAAGAACGGGCGGTCTTTTACAGGTGGTTCTTGACTTGTTTAGTGACCATTCGATGTTACAACAGCCTTGAAAAAAGGGACTTAGGATGATTTTTCACGTTTACGACCGTTGCAGCATCCCCATGGTTCACACGATTGAAATTCAGAGGCTTGGCCACTGGCATGTACTTATGACTGTTGAAGGCTCATGGGATCCCCCAAGTCAATGACTGGGAATTAACAACTTCAGTGATTCACTTAACAACAGTGGCAAGAAAGGCCACAAAATGGGGCTAAAACTCACTTAGCAACTGTCTTGCTCAGCAGTGGAAATGTTGGGCTCCATTGCGCTCGTAACTCAAGGATTACCTATACTTAAAATTGTACGCGCCAATCCAGCCTTAGGAAATTTCCAATTCTGGAAGCTTTTACTTTTTTTCTTCTTCACATACGCCCCTAATTCATTCTTTCTTTCTTTCTTTCTTTCTTTTTTTCTTTCTTTTCTTTCTTTCTTTCTTTCCTTCCTTCTTTTTTCTTTTTCTCTCCCTCTCTTTCTTTCTCTTTCTCTTTCTCTTTTCTTTTTTCTTCTTTCTTTATTTCATTCTCTTTCTTTCTTTCCTTCATTCTTTCCTTTCCTTCTTTCTTTCTTTCTTTTTTCACTCTCTCTCTCTTTCTCTCTCTCTCTCTCTCTTTCTTTTTTCTTTTTTCTTTCTTTCTCTCTTTCTCCCTTCCTTCCTTCCTTCCTTCTATTTTGGGTCTACATTTTAGCATGAGGAAAGCAGTACTTTTCTGTACCTGCTTAGCCAAATGAGGTTTTTCCATGATAGAGTTAGGATATTAAAATCAAGAGAATTTGGGGTGTGCTGAGCCCAAAGTAAGCCCCAGGCCTTTGTTCCCCCTCTCTTCCTTTTGAAACGTCCTGGCTTCTCTGCCAAGGAGGATGGCAAACACCACCCCGCTTGCAAAGAGCTACCAATCCTTCCTATTCCTTAGCGGCTAGAACCTTCTCCCCTGAGCTGCTAAGAAACCCCAGGAAGCCTCGGCTGAGGAATAAAACCGTTGGGTGGGACCTTCTCCGCTCTTTCCCCTCCCCTCCCCTCCCCTCGCTCTTCAGGTTTTAATTGGCACTTCATTACACAAGGCTTCATTAAGGCAAAAGAGCCACTAAAGGTAATCTGTTGCTAATTGCTCAATTATCTTCCCTAAGAGGAAGCTTAAGG